GCGAGTCCTGAGAACTCATTATCAGCTCGCCGGTGGTACTGAATGAACTTGGAACACGGTTCTCGTATGGTTTGGCATTACCACTATCGTCACATCATTAGAAAACAGGCCATGGTGTTCGCCTTTCAGTCTATTGCAACATAGCTTGAGTTGCAGAGCTTGAATATTTACAACGGTCACATAATTATACATGAAACTCTCGCAGACTCCACCATCGCTATCAACGTCACTGATATTGATAATTGCCCATCCCGGACGGCCATCGTGTTAGAAGGCTAAATGCGGCAGATTGCCCCATGATGTCCCGGTAATCTGAACGTCTGTGGGAAAGCGTTAGAAGTTGAAAAAAATATCCTTCATCAGCGGCCGTGCATAGGCGGTAGAGTTTATTGTTGATAGTTCTGACGCAATATTTAGTCAGGGTTTAGATAATTAGCACGCAAATTGACCGGTTGGACATCAATTTTTGTTCCACAAAGAAAATCGACGGCAATGAAATCGACTCAAGAGCTGGTATACGCTAGAGACAACACAGACATACCTGTTATGGCATCTTCATCAACGCTCTCAAGTTGTTTGTTCTTCAGGTATAGCGTCAAAAATAATACTTTAGTGTTGACATATAACACCCTTGCAACAACAAAACCTAAGACAGGAAGTCCGGTGTACTGTATACATGCTCCATACAACTTGAATTGGCTTCGAACACCCGGACCTCCTTGGGGTTCCAAGTATTCGTCTTGCAGAGAGCTGACTGAGCTTGGTGCCGGGGGGGGAGACAACTTGTCATTTACCTGCATGATCCCAAGTACGTGGTCAACAGATGGCAACGCGTAACTACGTTGCCATTTACGGGAGTGTTACTTTATCTGATGAGCTAGAATCTTGTGCTACTAGAAGGGATGATGTGGCAGCCCCTAAGCAATGTGGAAAATACAGGGAAAAACTCATCCTATAGATGAAGTGCGATTGTCCAAAGGCAAGCAGGCATGAGAGATCACGATTCGGAAATCAAAACCACAAAGCAACCACATCTTTCAAAATGATCGGAGCCGATTACTACTCGATTCGGGGATGATCGAGACTATCGGAGACCCGGCCCTTGTGTCGATCTGTCTAGACCGTTGACAACTCTACATAGCCTCCAGAATATCAAACATGTCTTGCAGAACTCTGAACACGTTTGCCTACCTTGACGGATATGTGTTATCAGTGGGCCGACCTCATTTTATCAACGGAGGTTCGGGTGAAGTGAGGGTTGAGATGCAAGGATGTAGTTGAATCAAAGCCTTCAAGATATCAAACAACCACCCTGCCTTGTCTTTACCTGCTTGGTGCTAGCATCTGCCGGGAGCAAACATGATCAAAGCTGGGCACCACTCGGTACCCCTAGACTAAACCGAGACACAATCACCCGCTGAAGTTGATCGAGACCGAGATCCGAGATCGAGCAGCGGATGGCACACTTGGATCTTGGGATGCAGGCAATCCTCCCCTCTCCCGATGTTGGCTACGTGGATGACGCTGGACAAATCAAGTCTGGGTCATGTATTTTGAGTTTACCCGATGAGGGAGGGGGCAGAAGTTAACACCTGTGGCTCATGCTTTGGGGAGTTGTGTGGCTGGACGGGTCATCAAGACTAAGCTGACCGACATCGTACACCCGGCCTCTTGGAGGCTGGTTCCAGGAAACTCTTGTTTCCTGTGATGAGAGAGAATGAGCTAGATGTGCCCGGTCTTCGAGGACCGATGCGTGATATCAGATATCCCCGCTTTCCCACACCCCTCGCCCAACTTAACATGCCCCCGTAGCCATGCCCTTACAGAAATTCAGGACTGGATCTGCGGAGTGTATGCTCAACACTGTTTCGGAGCAGGATGACGGACCGCAAGAGAGAGGGTGGGAGAGAGACAGATGAGTCCGGACCTTGGACATCCCAACCCGTTCTTCCCAACGGTTAGCCGGCTGGCGGGACAACAACATGCGCCGTTTCCTGATCTGACACCGGTCAACCGACCCCTCACTTTGCGTCTGGCTACCATAGGCTTGTTGATGTGCGTCACTGGCCCGCAGACGCAACATCAGGCGTGACGCTGCCACCGAGGACCAATTCTTTCGAATCTCATGGTGGAATAAAACTTGGCGACGATGTGTCCACGTAGGCAGGTCCTGGCTCCTCCTTCCCCTCGTTGCTCCCTGCGGTTATGCGTGTGTCCGTGAGCCAAGCCAAGCCAGACTCTCGCAGTTTGTGGGTGGATAAAATCGGCTTCCCCCCTTTGTCGTGACAACGGCAGCAGACAGGAGGGGGGCGAGCGCAGACAGCCGGGGAGATGTGTGTGTCCGGCCAAATAGGAAAGAGGGGGAATAATCTGTTGGGGGGGCGTCCGGCACCTATTATACGTGTCCTGAGGAGTCCAAAAGGTATTCTTACTCGTTGGGTCTTCACCGCCTAGAGGCGGGGACCAGGGCTTGGGCAATTTATGTACGAGCGTCTGCAGCACGCGATTTGCGGTGTTGACATGTCGTGAACGAGCTGCCCGCCGTTAGGATCCATCGAGCGGCAGGGGATTTTTCGTCGCGCGCTTGATTCGCCTTCTGGACTGCTGCAGGTCCGACGGGAAATGAGCGCATAAACAACAACAACCACCTGAGCCAACCAGAGCGCTGATCCAGAAGAGAGGGATGCTTCACACTGACCCGCACGACAAACAGCGGGTTGCGGAGAACGGCAGACATCAACCTGGGGTGAGTTAGCCGCGTCGGGTCTAGCCCTGCATGCTCGGGAGGAAAAGAATCCAGACTCTTCCGGTTAGGTGGGCGGAGACGGGGCATTGGGGACAAGGGCCGGCCCGCTGGGGTACCCGCCTCTGAGTGGACGGCCAAGACCCGGGCAAGGCCGGCTCCGGGGAACCGACACCGACCGGTCGGGGGAGTGTGCTTAGCTGATCCTTCGCATCCGGAGGCTACGGTCCCAGCCGGCGGACAACTCAGAGGAAGTCTCGGAGTGGCGGTGCCCGTAACTGCGGTCAAACGTAGAGAGGCTGGACAAAGGTTGGCGGGTGGTCCGGGACGATTGCTTGCTCGCTTGCGCGTTCCCATGTTTATTCTCTCTCTCTCTTTTGCCTGCATCGTGTCTTCTGACTTGTCCCCTCACTCACCGGGGGCCCACCGTGTTTCGGGCGGACATCGGTTCCAGTGCTTTTGGAGACCCCCCGCCCATGGCCGACAGTTTGTTTCCGGCCGGAATGACTAGGCGGGCATGCGAGACGTGCATTGGCGGCCGCCCTTCCAGGAACTACGCAAGAAATGATCGCCTTGAGCCTCAGCTCTATTTTCCATCACGCAGCTGATCTTGGTGTGACGGGCCCATTGGGTGTCGTCGACGAGTCGTCTTGGAGCCCGGGCGTTTGCTGGAAAACATGGCTGCTCGTTGGGCGCCCAATTGAGTTCTGGTTGGGAAGCGAGTGCTGATTCCGCGCGGCTCTTGTCCGGCCTGCCCTGGCGAAGGTCAATGAGAAGAATGTTCTGTCAAATGGCGCCCGTGCGTGGCTGTTCGGCGGTCTCATCTGCCTGCGGCAGGGGGCTTTGGGAAGGCATGAAGTTGGAAGTCGCGAATTGAGCAAGACCACGTCTGGTGATGTCGTGGCCTAACGCTGCCCGAGAGTGGAGCTTGTCTTTGCTGGTCGGCGCTGCCCATTGGCTGCACTCGGTGTCCCGCTCCTTCCCGTGTCCAAATGGCCAAACGCACAGAGCCGCTGACGTTTTTTTCTGCAACGTCCTGGCCGTGATGGACGGAAAGAGCCACCATGGGTCAACATCTCGGCTTTGGGTCCTGCGGTAGGCGCCTGCCGTTGAAGTGATGGGTGAAAATTTGATGGCCCGCCCGGTTTCCGCCCCTGTCAATCCGGTCAATTGCCACCGTTTGCCCAAGGTCGGACGCTTGGGAGTGAGTGTCTGAGTGAGCGGCAAGCTTGCAAATGACACTGCTCGCATGCGAGGCAGCCAGACACAACGACACAAACCAACCACCAGAGCATCATGCCCGTCAGAGGATCCTGCCACCGGTGATTTGGCAATGGGTGGCGATGAACCGGGCCCATGGGTTTGAACTTCTAAGTGCATACCCCGCGAATACCTGCGTTACTTGGAACCACGAGATGAGGGGCCTCGCCATTCTCTTCACTTTCCATCACATCGGGCTCGTCGGGTGCCGTTGAAGTTTGTTTTCGTCCAGAGATTTTTCCGGCCCTGCCCTGATTTTTGCACGACATGGTACTCAAGTCGTTGGCAAACGCAGAGGCGACCTGAGACCCGACCTGGGCAAGCTGCGGCTTGGCCGCTCACCGGGTGCATGCCCAATGCCAGCCAACCCTCCGATTTTCCCTCATTCGTCACGGTGTCAAGTACCACACGAGGCTGACTAGGCCTCATTGGGGGTGACTCACGTTGTTACCCAGACCGGGCAAGGAGGCGAGGTTGTACATAGGCGAGACGCCCGTGTTCTCTCGTCCCAAACAAGGAGCAGTTCGGGCCACTCATTGCCAGTCTTGGATGTTGGTGTCGGCATGCGGCTCCCCACTGGATGCCCCGTTCCTGCTGGCATCAAAACCACGCTCTTCTGCACGCCCTAGTCCACTTTGTCCCGGCTGCTTCCACTCCACTGCATCACCCGCCCTCGTCCCTTGTCCTGTGCGCACAACAAATACAATTCTTGTCCAAAAGATTGGGACTTCCACCCGAAATGCCCTCCCGTGACACAACTGCCCCCAAGCCAAACCACAACCACGATCCAAGAGTGACCTGAGCGTCCCCCCAAGAGACAAACGAACCATCTAGACACCTACACAGACACAGACACACACACACACACATACCCACGACCAGACACACTGATATACACACACATACACTTCCACACAAGCACGATAAGACATATCACCATCCCACAAGCCATCCCATAACGATCCAACCCCCATCCGACATCGCCGTCCCCCCTCCGATGGAGAGAGAACGACAGTACCTCCGCCCAAGGGTAGGAGGCACCGTGACCCCGACCTCCGAGCCCCGGTCCTCGGACCGGCCTGCTGAATGGCCTCAGTGGGAGTCGGAACGGACACAAGAACAACAAGACAAGCGGGAGGAACAACAACAACAACAACCAGTGAAGTCGATCTTGAGGAAGACCACCCGGCCTTCACTCAGGCCACGGCGGAACTCGGACACATCCGTCACCTCTTCCAGCTTCATCACCTCGGCAAGTGAATCAGACTTGAGCCTTTCCCCACCCCCAACATCACTGCCCGCGCCTACTACCGCGAGCGGGCTGCCGAGGAAGGTTCTCAAGGCCAAGTTCCCAGCAGTTCCCGTAGAGCGCCAAGGACTTGTGAGCCTGAGGTCGTCGAGGTCTTCCACGGGCCATCTGCCTTCTGTTTACCATGTTCCCCCAGTCCGCACCGTCTTGACTCCCCAATATCCACCACCACCACCACCATCATCACACTCCCAAGGCCGTCGTGGGTCCTACGACCACAGCGACCATGACAGGCACTACAACACCACGACAGATCCGGAAACGGAATCAGTCACGTCTTCCGACCTGTCGTCCACAACAGAAGCCACCACCATCATCTCCTCGGCCCCGTCCGACTCGGGTTCCAGTGATGTGACCCCAACCGAGGCCCACCCCCCCAAGACCACCCCATCCGTCCGCTTCACGCCGAGCGTCATCGGCTCCGAGAGCGTGGCCAGCTCTGTGCCGCCCCCCGTCCGCAAGGCCCGGCCAAGACTGACCTTCCGCCCCAGGCAGCCGTCCCCGGACACGGAGCGGACGGTGGTCAAGAGCGCCAGCCGGACGGCCCCTGTCCAGCTGCGGATGTTGCCCCTCACGGCCGAGACGGCCGAGTCCCGGTACACCCGCGAGCTGGAACGGTACCAGGAGGAGATGGAGCGCAGCCTGATGCACCGGATCGAGCATCTCGAGGCGGAGCGGGAAGCGCTGCGTGACAGCGAGGCGAAACTGAGGCGGGAGGTTGATGTCGTGGCCTCGCGTCTGTCCTCGCTGGATCAGGAGAAGGCCGTTGTTGAGACCCAGCGGGACACGGAGCGCCGCAGCAGGGAAGAGGCGATCCGCCTGCTGGAGCGGCAAAAGGCGGTGTTTGACGAGTTCCGCAGCAACTTCGACCTACAGAAGGCCATGCTCGAGGAGGTGGAAAGGGAGCGGGATGCTGAGCGGGCTAGCAAGGCGGACTTCAAAGCCAAGCTGGAGTCCACTAAGCAGGTGTTTGACGAGTACAAGTCTACCGTGGAGCTGCAGAAGATGATGATTGATGAGGTCGAGAAGGAGCTTGACGACACCAAGACGTCCAAGGACAAGACCGGGGTAGAGTTTGCCGGGCTGAAGAAGGAGTTTGAGAAGTTGCAGACTGACAGCAAGGAACGCGAGGCGCTTCTCGCCCACCAGATCGCCGCCATCGAAACGAGCCGGGACGCTTTGCAGGAGCAACGGGACAACAAGGACAAGGAGATTGCCGCCTTGACTGCGGACCGCGAGAAGCTGCAGTCCAAGGTGGATGCACTGGATGCTCGCGTGACGACCTCGCAGGACGAGTTGAAGGCGGCCCACGAACAACAACAAAAGATCAGGGACGCTGCGCAGGAGCGCCAACAGAAAACGGTGGACGATGCCGAGAAGGCAAGGGAGGTCCTGCGGAAGGAGCTGGAACAGGAACATGCCGACGCCAAGAACCGTGTTGTCGAGCTGGAGAAACAGAAGGGGGACCTCGAGACAGCAAAGGCATCTGTTGAGCAGGTACGGGACCATGTCCAGGTCAAGCTCCAGACTGCCGAGGGAGACATCGCGACCCTCAACGCCGAAGTCGAGGTCTTCAAAGCTTCCACAGCAGCGCTCAACACCCGAATCACCGCCCTTGAGGAGGAGCTCGCGGCATCGAAAGCCGAAGCTGTCGACCTCAAGGCCCGGATCGACGGGCTCGAGTCTGACAAGACCGGCCTGCAGCAGCAGATCACAGACCTCACGGGCGAGAAGACCGAGCTGCAGGCCCAGCTCCAGACTCTGACCACGGACCTCGCCGGAGCCAAGGATGCCAACATCTCGCTCGCGAGCCAGAAGCTGGACCTCGGCGTCAGCATGGCCGGAGTCACCGATGCCCTGACGGCTGCCCAGGCCGAGATATCCGTGCTCAAGGGAGAGAAGGCCGCGGTGCAGTCCGAGGCGGACAAGATTCCTGCCCTAGAGAGCGCCAAGGCGGAGCTCGCTGGGAATGTGGTGGACTTGAAGGCGAAGATCTCGGAGTTTGAGGGCAAGATCGCTGAGCTACAAGCGAAGATTGCTGTCCTCCAGACTGAAGCCGACAAGATCCCCGGCATCTCCGACGAGAAGACCGCGGCCGAGAGCAGGATCTCCGACCTCGAGAAGGAGACGGTGTCTCTGCAGGCCAAGATCGCGGAAGCCGAGAGCGAAGCGGCGAAACTTGCACCTCTTGAAGCGGCCAAATCGGCCCTCGAGGGCAACATCTCCGCGCTCCAGGCCCAGGTTGCCCAACTGCACGGTGAACTCTCCCGAGACCCGGACGCTACGGCAGCCACGCTCCGCGCTGAGGTCGACGCCAAGGGCCAGGAAATCACCCGGCGCGTTGACCAGATCAACACCTTGACCGCCAGCAACACGGCCCTTTCTGCCCAGCTCGGCGCGTCACAACAGCAGGTCGCCACCCTCCAGCAAACCCTCAACACCGTGACCCAGTCCCACAACGCCGCAACGGTCCAAGCCGCCGACCTCCAGGCCCGCCTCGACCAACTGACTTCCTCACTCCCCACGCTAAACCCGACTTCGACGCCCTCGGCCCCCTCCTCCCGCCGCGCCAGCCGATCCCGGAACTCATCGCCACAGAAGAAGCGAGAGCGCGACAGCAGCAGCGGCGGTGGCGGCGGCGGTGGGAGCAAGAAGGACAAGCACCTCGTGCTCGTGCGGAACCCCGCCGACAGGGGAGGAGCTCTGTCAGTCATGCTCCAGATTGCAGCCGCAATCTGAACACTCCCCGCCCCCCCTCTCCCTCTCCCTACTCCTCCCGCCCTGTCCCCGTTTTCCCCGGCCTCCCTACCTACACCCAGTCCGTATTGTCCCGTCTTGTACCGCCCTCCCCCAATATCGAACGCCTCCCTCCCGTCTACGTCCCCCCCTCCCTGTATGTAGTCACCAAAACTAACAGGGACTCCATTGAGGGACGGCAACTCCAAAAACAGGCAATTCATCCGCCGGTGCGATCTGAAACTGCTCAAGGCTTTGCCTACGTCGCCAACAACCTCCGGCTCGTCTTCGTCTTCTCGATCCGGCAGTGCGGCTACAACACCACGGAGTTCGATGGACTCGGTTACTTGTTAACGGTACAAACGGCATGACGCGATTTGATCATCATCCATCTTCCGGGCTCTGGAGACTAGACCGGACCGGGGAAACACTTGGATCTTGGCGGGAGTAATGGAGAGGCAAGTAAGTGGCAACCGTTGCGATGAGGGACGAACGAACAGCAGCAAGAAGTGTGGTGCTCCAGGGTTTTGCATCTTCTTTTTCATTTCCTGATTCCCCCACAGACTGTTACTTCTACTTGTTGTTCTATTGTCTCTTCTTTTCCCCTTATGGCTCGATGCTTTTCCTTTCTACACCCGGGAGCACCCCTTCTTGTTTCTTTATCTACCCAACCCAAACAGCAGGTGTTTGGCTGGGTTGGGTTTACTCTGGTGCCATGGCGGACATGGGGGTGGTGCTTTGTCTTTCCTTTATTTTTTCGGTCATATTTCCTTTTGTATGGTATGCAGCTTGTTTTTCAGCAGAGCGGCTTTTTGTTTTTGACGTCTTTTTTCTTTTATTTTCGTTGTTTTTGCTTTTCTTTTGTTTTGGGTCTTGTAAAAGGGATAATTTCGTCTTGTTTTTTTTGGTTCGTTTGCAACTTTCCTTTCGTGTTTTAGATTAGCCAAGCTTGGGCGCACAGCCTCTTCTGTCGTGATGGGGTGGTGGTAATACCATTATTCACGAGATCATGGCATGGGAGCAGGGACAAAATGCATGTGCGAGGGAGTTAGGAATTTGTACTTGTGTATGCACGCATGGGTACTAGGAGCGGGACTGGGAGCATGGGACTGGGGAGCATAGGATCGGGGAGCATGGGAACTAGGGAGCATGGAAATCAGGTGCATATGGGCATTTTGTTGGTGTTGGTGACCAGGCATGTAATGGGGATGAACTATGTAATGGGGCTGCGGGGTGTAATGGTGTAATACATGATGTTTTGTTGGTGTTTACTTTTGTTACTGCTATGGTCAATGTGAATCGTGATATTGCCACCATTCCTTCGTGGTTCTATTCACGCTTGCTAATGCTCTGGGTCTGGTGCTGTGGTTTGCCGGGACCAAGGTCTTCTCCTGTCGATATCCCAGATGGAGTCAAAATCAACACCTCAGCAGGTATGTTATGGACAAAAAGACCATTGGTGGGTTGACTAGCCACGATGGCCAGAGACATCCATGCTATCCCATTCGCTGATTAAAATATCAGCCACAGTGGTGGCCTTGACAAGATGCAATGCGGCTTAGATTCTCTTAAATCCTCTTAACAAACATGTAGTGTACCTTGGCCAAACCACGATGGCCTACGTGTCGTTTCTGATTTCGTGGACATGTCACCGAAAGTTAGCAATCACGTCCACATTCCCGAACGTGCCCACTATGGTATTATTACACTTGATTGCTCGCTACACCCACACCCGAACGGAACACATCCCGTTTCGCCGTCTTCGCATCCTGGACTAGTAGGAAATCACTTTTTTTTGTCTCGAGTTAGACAACGCGTCTCGATAAACCTGAGCCTTCTGGACGAAGCAGGGAACGGGCCACGTCTTATCTCGCAGGGGGTTCTGGATAGGTCTGGACCCCGAAGCCAAAGGCGGTGAAGCTGTTGCATTTGCAGGTCACAGATGCGAGGGCACGTGGTCTAGATTGAAGGGACATGGGTGTTGTTGTTGAGGATTCGAGTTCGTTGTCATTCTGAGAACGATTGGTCGAGACCTAATGGCCTATTCGGGCATATATGGCTGAGTAGACCTTCTTGGGGGGTAGAGTGGGAAAATCGTGCTTCGGATGTAAGAATTTTGGCAAGGGTTGGAGCAGGATGTTCTCTGTGTGCTCAAACATGCGGCGAAAGAAACGCCACTTCGGCGATTAGAGGAGGGCGGACAGGCCTTGATTGGTCTGTTGCGGTGATTTCGAGATCAAGGGCAGATGTCGAATCTCAGCTTTTCAGCTGTGGGGAGAAAGTTGTGACTCGTCTTGTTTGATGTGATCATGGTTTGCTCATTGCTGGGTGCCTTGATGTGTTCTCGATTAATGGTGCAGAAATATACGAGGGCGGGGGAGCCTACTGCTAAGGAAAGAGCCAAAATACACACATTCTTCAATCTTGATCACCATGTGCCTTGATTCAGGATTCCTGTCGAATCTTGTCCCATATCCTTTGCTCCGGTGTGGGCCAAACTGCTTTTTCCCTAGTCTGGAAATCTGGAATGCTTTTTGACATCTCGCATTCTCGATGTTTCCATCCAATGATGGCCCTGGCTCGGCCGACGTGAAGAATATCCTAATGGGGATAATATCCAAGCCACCGGGTCATTTTTCGGTTACCAACGCTAAACGTGATGCTTGACCGAGATCGCCAAGCTTCTGGCGGTCTGCAGAATCTTACCATCCTCGTGGGTCCCTGCAGATTTTGAAGGTGATCACGGGATCAACCGAAAATATTTCATGGTGGGACCGTGGGTCGCCGGCGATGCTGATGATGAGCTTTGCCTCGGTTAACCATTGCTTTTCCATGATGCTGGATTCGAGTCGAGTGACTCAGTAAATGGCAGAGCTAGGCCGGAAATTGAATGACAGCTAGGCTTTTGCTGAAAAACGGAATGACTGGTCACTGGGTTGACATGTCACAATTCTCGTCGAGAACATTTGCAAACAGGATCAGAAACGGACGGAAACTTGCAGTCAATTACAGCCGCCACAATGTCGTCAACAGGCCCAGATGGGAACCCTGATATTACACTGCAACAGAGAATAATGAACACTTAAGCCGCCCTCTAACCCCGGTATCCCCGTGTGGTATCCGCCTCTAGCAAATCTAAAACCCCAACCCATGTTCCTGAACCCTCATGAACTTGCCGCCCATCTTTTCTGAGTTTTCTACCTGTTCCTTAGTTCTTCTCCCAGAAGAGGTCGACATCCTTGCCGTCGAGCCACTTCTCCATCTCGCCATACATACGGGTGAACAGCTCGCCACCGGCAGTGGGCAGGTCGAGATCGATCTCGTAGCCGAGACGAGCCTGGGCGGCGCCGAGCCACTTGTAACCGGTCGGAATCTTCTCGAGCTCCTCCTTGGAGAACTTGGGAGCGCTGATGCCGTCGACAGGGACAACCTTGTCCTTCTCGTAGAACAACTTGACGTATTTGGCCTTCCACTGTTTAGTAGCGGGATTCTTCTCACAAAAGAAAATGAAACGGCAGTCGCAGTCAACGTCGAACTCGGCAGTCTCAGTGTCCGGTGAGGCGCCATTGCCGCCGGTGGCGGGGTCGAACTTGAAGCGGTGGGTGATGGTGGCCTTCATCTTGCCAATGGCACGGCCAGCAGCGGTGTTCAACTCGACGAGGGTGCCACACTCGCGGTGCATGATGAAGACGCCCTTGTCCTTGCCGGCCTTGGAGATGGCGATGAACTCATCGACAGGGCGGGGGCCGCTCCAGGCTGTTTGAGGAACACAGAGGTTAGCAAGAGTGACCGGGCCGACGAGGTGCTAAAATTGGCGGGCAACAAAGACTTACTGGTCCAGACATAGGCCTCCTCGGCAAAGAGATCGCGATAGTTCTTCCACTCGGACGAGTCGCGGTAAACAGGCCAACCCTTGCAGAGCTCGGAGACTGCCAGGCGGTCACCCAGATCTTCGAGGGTGCCGTTGATGTGGGAATAGGTTTTGGTGTGGGGGTCGATTGGAGAAGTCATGGTGACGGCTTGTGTGGACTAGTCTTTTACACTGCTCAAGGCGTGAATATTGGTTCTGTGATGAGAGAAGGATCGTTGTGAACTAGGTTCGGGGTTGTGGGAAGGGTGGTGTTTTGGAGAAAAGAAATACAAATTTCTTCCGACTTTTGTGCGGACGAGAAAAATTCTGACGACCTGAGAATTGGGCGTTCCTTCCTCTAAAATATTTGGCCTTACAGTCCGGTGGTTGCCCAACTTGAGACTGACTGACGTCTTGACCCTGACCGCCATTTGTGCCGATTTGGTTTAGTTTGGGGCCGGCAGAGGGGACAGGGAAGGAACTGGCGGTAGCCAAACTTGAAGCTTGAATTCCGAAAGAGTAAAGCGAGTTGATTGGAAATAACAGCATGATTCTGGGCCGCAAAAGCAAAAGGTGGTTGTTCGAAGTGGCCGTTGTGCGGGATTGTCGACCATATTGGCCAGGACCGGCGGTTGTTCGTTGTTTGAAGCACCAAGGATGATAACCCGCAACATGGCTGTTCATGAGGCCTTTTATATAAATTTCTTTCTAGGTAGGTAGGTGTATGATATGTACAACTTGAGTTTTGGAAGCCTCATACCATTCCTGCTCCAACACGTTACACATCTCACTAACGGCCCCTTGGAGAAGACTTTCTCGGCGTTTGACGTCTGGAAGGCCCGCTTTAGGTCTGCTGACCGGTTTTTTGGGACTAGCTTCTGGCATTGGCATCCTGTTTTGCCGATCCTCGTGGTGTGCAAGCCACCCTGTCATTGGGCTTGGGTGCCGGGCACCTGGCACCTGGGTCTGGACTCAAAGGGCAGGCGCATGCAAGGAACCAAAAACCCCTGGGACCCACAAGCCCAATGGGTCGGGACAGGAACCAGCGTGAACCACTTGTTCATGCCCGTCTCATCAGCCTCATTTTTGGCGCTCAACCATTGTGTTGACCAGTTTCCCGCCTTTTTTGGAAGTTTATCCCGCCGTGTAGATTACTTGGCAAAATTAACTGTTGATGTACCGAACAGTGCACCAGAGTGAAGTGAAGATTTGCAAGTGGTATGTACATGTAATTACATCTGGATATTGGGAGCCTCGACACGCCCTAACAACCACGGGGGAAGATGTCAAGTGGTTACACAGCGTCATGTAAACGCCACTCCATATCTGGCCAGCTCACAGAGGAAGTTTGGGCCACCTGCAGCATCTGACAGAGGACGAGGAACGCCACAGAGGTCGTTGGAACTTGGGGGTTAATACTGATGTGGCTTTGTGGACACAACACGAAAGGGTTAGGGTTGTGCTAGAGTTTGTGGACCCCGCCAAAAGCTGCCCCCAACGAACCACAGTTCGCGTGCTCATGTTTCGTGGTTGTCCCCGCCATCGTCGCCCGACCCCTCCATCACAAGCCCATAACCTTCCAGGCCACCCCATCACTATTTCCGCGCACACGACAAGTGCTTATCCACGCGCACGCCCGACATGTCATCCGACCCCATCCACCACGTCGCGTCACATAGCGAATTCGACTCGCTGCTCTCGACAACGCGCTATGTGATCGTCGACTTCTACGCCGATTGGTGCCCTCCGTGTAAAACGATCGCGCCGCCTTTTCTCGCGCTGGCCAAGAAATACTCTATTCCTGGTTTCCTCGCCTTTGGCAAGGTCAATGTCGACCACGTCGGTTCCGTCGCGCAACAGTACAACGTGGCAGCTATGCCCACCTTCTTGTTCTTCAAGGAGGGGAAGCAGGTCGCTGTCAATGGGAACGTCACAATACAGGGTGCCGACTTGCAGAAGTTGACACAGGCAGCGGAGAAGATGGGGGGCCTTGCGAAGGCCAAGGCGGATGCGGCTGCTGCGGAAAATGCCTGAAGACATGATGAGGCGCGGCTTGATGGGGCTAGCGATTGTGATAGATCTGGGGACGATGATGATGGCAGGGGCGGCCGTTGCCGTCCCGGGCACGACGGCGTCTGGAATACTCGCATTTTTCCTTTCGGTATTAGTCGCTTTAGCGGAATGGCAGCGTTTGGGACAGGTTGGGAATAGAACATCTCGTACTGCGTTGCCTGCATTTGTTCCATGTGCTGGATCGTAGCTTGGATCGACTAGGCCTGGAGTTTGATGCAGGATCGGCACCTACATTCTGAGGTGATGTTGTCCCTAACCTCACGCTATCAACGCCTGCTCGGGACATTTAAGTTAGGTATCCGGCGACAGGACAACCAAGTGACGCTGCAGGCAAGAATATCATAGCCGGAGAAGTCCTCCTACGGGGCTTGTTTCCTCGTATCAAGATGTGGCTGACTCCGTCCTGTTATCGTCATTTGTTTTCCGTGAACTTGTTTCGAAGCCGAAATTAGGGAACCATGGTCAGTAACTTAGGACAAACTCTCAAGCAGCGGAGAATACAAGATAGTGGTTCGCCGATCGCGACGATCGAACCGAGTGGTTGGTGGAGGAGTGGGTAGGACGCTCAGCTCACTTCAACATTACTCGGCTGACGACCTGCCAACTCGTGGGAATTCGAGTTTTGGATTTCGGAGTATCTCGAACATTTATGCAGTCGAGCTTATTGAATTACATCGAATCAGACAGAAGCGCGCATGTGCCTGTGAGGTTGCTAGGCTGCAATTCGGGATTTGGAGGCCGCCTACTGGTGGTGTTGGTCACCGGTCACACGATGCACCTGACGGATCCTGACCACTGTCACACCCCACCCCCACGAGCTATGCGCGTCGCGTGAAACTTTAACTAGGTGTTTCGCACGAAATAAAATGCGTCAAGAGAGATTTCTTAGTATTTCTTACTTTTCTTTGCCGAATACCCATCTAAAGTCGTACCTAGCTAACTCACCCCCAACCTGGCACCAGCCCCTGAACCATCTTGACGATCACGACGGGAAACAACAACTCAATAAAATGCCGTCATCCCAACGACCTCGATCATCGGGGCCCAAGCGCTCCAACGGCCAATCCGAAATCTTGCACCAGGTTGGCCGTACAGTTTTGGCCTACTCCTTGAAGAAACTCAGCGAGCAAAAAACGCAACCCGAACCGGACTCAAGATCAAGGAGTTCACGGTCACGATCCAAATCCAGGCACAGCAAAGCAAGAGAACCCTCCAATTCTTCAACAGCACGACGCGATGGAAGTACCCGTGGCCGCGATCTCCCCCGAAGCAACAGTGATGAAATGCACTCCATGGTCAGTCAGCTCGCGGCTGGCGTCCTTGCCGTCGGAATTCGAGCGATCGTCAAGAAGAGGAAAGAAGCGAAGCAAAAAGCCACTGCTAATGCTTCCGCCGAGAAGGCGATTGCAAAGTCCATACCAGGATGGCCAGGCCGAGACCCTCGACCTGGTATCGATCCCGAACTGGCCGCTGCACTGGACGCCGTAACCCATGAGCTACAGGGAGTGTCTGAGTCGATCTCGCGACTGGCAAACACGGCCCCGGTATCGACACATCCAGATTGCGCGGTGCGAGAGGCCCTGGTGGCAGACGCAGGCAGGTTAAACGGGTCGCTGGCGAATATCCAGACGAGTATATACAACATGAGGAACTTACGCCCTGGGCTGAGCCAGGGTGGACAACAACGCGGGGGGCAGCGAGAACGGGTCGGTTTGAGGAGACGGGATGAATATGGGGATAGGAGGAATCGGGGGTTGGAGGAACGGCTGAGGGAGCGACAAAGGGAGGAGAATAGGGAGAGAAATTGGGGAGGTGGTCGGGTTGAGGAAGGGATCACGAGGAGGAAATCTGTTGGACCAACAAGAGACGACGGGCTAAAGAGCCAGCGGGCAGAGCGCATCGAGGAGGAAAGAGGGCGAGGTGACAGGCACCGGCGGCGGAGGGAGACCGGAGTCATTCCCAGCCGGTAGAACCCAGTGAGCGTCAACGACACCGATGGACCCGACGAGACGGGCCTGAGGAGTACCGCCGGGGCTAACGGGTAGAAGCCGAGCGGTAAAATTGGGAGTTTGAAGTTGTCAGGTTGTCAAGTTGTCCTATAGACACACTACACGGTATCTCGAAGCCCCGTTCATGGCGGCTCTCTTCATTCCGTATCCGCTGCGGCCCACTCGCCAAATTTGACCAGGAGGTCATCGCCGAGAGGGCCCGCTTTAGGACCAACCCTAACCGAAAACCACAACTTCCACCAACACCACCCTTATCCACACTTCATGGGGTCTAATATGCCACGCGGGATGCAACAACGGCCCGCATGGCTCAGTGGTAGAGCGTGTCACTAGTAAACCCCTGGTTTATGACAAGGTCGCTAGTTCGATTCTGGCTGTGGGCATTTGTCGACGGGGATTCCGTTCCAACAAGACTTGATCTTTTTGATCGTATTTCTTGTTTTTGTTGGTCACTAGATGTTGGGTAAGATTACTTTGTACCCATAGCGCACTTGTGAGGGAGTATGGAGAGATATAGCTTACCTAGAATGTATTTATCTTTGCTTTTCTTGCTCGCTGTTTCGAAGCTTGCCCGTCGGGTGGCCATGACTGCCTTCCTATTCGACCATCTACCCTCCTAACATCGGGTCTTAAGAAGTTAAGTAGGACGTTTGCTCCAGTGCCGATTGATCCCTCAAGCATGTCGGCTCGTAAAAATTCCCTTTCCCTCAATGGGGACCGTTGAACCCGCCCACAGCTCATGCGCCGTTACCACCATCGCCAGCCTCACTCGCCTGCGATGCCCTTGATCCAATCCTGGTGCTCAGCGAGCCTGAACTGGGTTTCCTCGTAGCGCCAGCTCCCGGACCCGGACCCGGACCCGGGGCCTGCCAGCTCGTCCATCCAGGCCACCCTGGCCATCCGGGCCATCTTGCACCACCAGTACCTCCATTATCACCCACGGGCTGCCCACTTCCTACCCCTTCACGTCGGCGCTGATGATGACCACTCTGAACCCGACCTTCACGACGTGGCGGGACATTAGCGCGGGTAGCAGACCCAAATGTCCAGGTCCCGCTGCTGCTGTTGCTTCTCTTCACCCTTCCCCCACCGCGCCCCTTACTTCCCTTTCTGCGGACGCGTATTGATCGATGGTAACGCCATAGAAAATAAAAGAAACCGGCGAGGAATACGGTGACTAATACGGTGACGAGTATGATAATTGTGGTGTTTTGGGGCGTGGCGGTCGTGGGGTCATCGCGTGCTGTAAGGCTGGCGTAGATGATGTGAAGCAGTTTGGGATGTCGGCCATCTCGTTGATCGTCGTAGGTTCCTGGTGTTGGTTGAACCGCTGCCGCGAACTCGGTCCGGGAAAGGGGATTGAATCGTGGAATGTACATGGCATCGAGTCAGGTTAGGCGTCTGGGATTATTCTGTTCGGAGAGAACCACATGTAGTGAGGCTCATGAGACAGGACGAGGGGGACACGGGCTTGCTCGGTCACCAGGCGAAATTATGGATCTTCAGGATGCGCTGGAAAGCAGATTTAATTCGAGAACAAATGAAGATCGAGTACTGCCCACAAAGGGGGGATACAACCTGTTCTTGTAATAAAAAAGACCGCCGACTGGCTTCTTCTCCCGGGCGAATGCCTGCCTGCATGCATGCACATCGGCACCGACGGCAGAGCAAGCGCCCGTCATAGAGACCACCGATTGCATTCGCATTTGCAGGGCGAGCAATCCCAATGACAGGCTGATCGACATCGAAAACGCTCAGCGACAACGACCTCTGATTGACCAATGTATCCTCGGCCTGCATGGGCGTCAGGGCTGCAGAGACACCAAAGCGCAGCGCTGCACAAGCGTAGACGCTAGGTACCTAACGACGCAAGGCATGATGAAAGTTCGTCGGGTCGCAACTTTTTCAAGGGTGGAAACAGTCCGAAGCGCATTCAACCCGTCTGCTCCCGTTACTGGGCGAGAAGAGGATTGGGCAGCTGCAGGATTGACGCTGTTGCATTTCTCGACGGTGGTGACTGGTTGGTTAAGGCCAATGAGTTGGCAGGAATTGTGGTGGGGCGAAAGAACGAGATATGAGTCGGTGAAGCATCCCGTGTCAGATGATGGAGAGCGGATAAGAGTGGGAGAGAAAAAAAAGCCATCTGCTTGAATTCTCTTGTCCGGCCGACGCTGGTGCAACGGTTGAGTGGGACGCCAATGTGCTCTAAACATGTCGTTCCGGCAGGAGAACTGACTGAGGGATAAGCCGTTGCCCATAGTGAGTCGCTCGCGTACATGGGTGGCGATTAGACCCCGTTGATCAAGTTGTTGAGCACAATGTTGAGCAGACCGGCAGCTGGGTGTCTGGGGCGCCAGTGGTTTATTAATTAGCAGAGGTTGGTGTCAAAAGGCCGGTTTTTGGGGAGCAGGAAGTGATTGGTAGGTGTCTGAGAGGTCGGCCGGTAATAATTATCACACCAATGCCTACACAATCAAACACTTATCTCTCATACTCTTCAACTCCCACAGCCAATTTCGCCCTCCCGAACCCAGCTCGCCTGCAGCCTTACGGGAATCCCTTATAGCCCACAGGTCTTGCATCATCCGTATGGTCGTCCGGATATACCCCCACGGACACATCCACGGATTCCGTGTCCAGACAGCCTCCAGCCGCTCGAGGCACCACGTTCGTTGTGCCGGGTCGTCCGTCTGTGCACCCACTACAAAAGTCGGCCAGATGGTGCCTTTGAGATGCACATGATCGATGGGCACAGCAGACAGGTAGCCGAGAACCTCCTGGACAACGACGTCCGCGTGGGATGGGGATGTGAGGGACGGACAATCAGCCGCCTCAGGGATAGCAAGGATGATGTATAGACATGCGGTGGCGCGATGGGCGTGGCCGATGGTAATTCGGGCTGGCAGGTCGTCGTGTGCCGAAAGGCCGGGGATGTTGTGGACCCAATTGACGACATCGAAGGAACGGGCTGCTTGCAAGAGCGCAAGAGCCTTGTTGATTCGATCGGGATCGGCCCCAGCCTCGCCGTCTTTGCTATTGCTGTGTAGCTTGCTCGCCAGCAGGAAGATCTGGAGTATCTCGGGCGGGCAGCAGTGATAGGTGTATGCGGCGGCTCGTTCTAGCACACCTAGAAACTCGGCGGGCTCCTCCTCGGCCCAGTGCGTCAGGTCAAGTCCGCTGATGGCGGCACCCAGAACCCGGTAAGTCAGACAGTCAGCAGTGATGACGTCGAGGCATCGCATGAGCGACCGATTTGAAGCGAGGATGGAATTGTGGAGTAGCGACGGCATGAGCTTGGTGGCAGCCTCGATATGGACCTGCCAACCCCCTTTCCCTGAGTCGATCAGATCCAAGTTCACGAGAAAGACCGTCGCGGCAACAACCATGGGCAGGCTGGCTGGCGTCAAGTCGTCAACCGCAGCGCGTAGAAGGCTCATGGCCCGGTCTTTTGCGACCAAGGCGTCGATTAATTCAGGTCGTCTTAGGCCATCATACCGGCCTAACATGGCCGCCATATTCATTGCCCCCGTGGCGACGATGATAGCGCCGAGAAAGCCAAACGCCCCGGCCGGCGGGATGATGCTCCGAAAAGGGTTGTCGTTTGGCTGGTCGAAGGAAACCAAGTCGCGGCACACGACTGTAGCGACTGAGCCCGGCTGTTAGAAAAGGAAGAGAGAAAAGGACGAACCTAGCCAAGCCATGCTAACGATTGGGCCACAGGGCTCTAGCATGTACTTACAGTGATGGACGTATTGTTTCGTCTTCGGGCCAAGCCCGTTGATCGACGGGTCAAGAAGCGCAGGTGGAATGGAAAGAAAGGGCTGTTTGCTGCTGTCCGTCACGTCTTCAATTGGGCGAGAAGGGCATGCTGCCCCTAGCCGTCCCACGAGCTTACCGCGGACGGCTGGGGCATTCGCCCACCGGAGAAGCGGTCCATATCCAAGGCATTCCTTTCCAGCCAAGGAACACTTTCGACAGGAAGGAAGCGAGCGGTCGCATCGCAGACGACGGCGGCGGCAGTTGTGGCACGCTCGGGACGGTGTTGTTACCCGGGTACCATCGGAAAACGCCAGCATTGGGATCCTCGATGCCGTAGTAGTGTCCCCATTCCCTGGACGGTGTTGGATGGAGAGTTGGGGACGCTGGACGCGATAGTTGTCTCGTTTGTAGTGAGGTGTTATTTTCGCCTCGATTTAACACCGATAAGGTAAATTACCGTATTCGGAGAAGAAAATCTTCCGGGCTCGGCATCCCAAAACGGCACCAAAATTGCATGACCTGCGTCGGCCAGTTCTTGGCAATGGCTAACTCGGTTCTACGAGCCGTTTGACACAAGACCGAGAAACGTTATGAGATAATGCCGATAAGCCCGCGAACACCATGGCCGCCTTCCGACAATGCACGCCATGTATCTATTCGAGATTGAGCCGCACCCTTGCGCTTTCGAAGTGTTCTCGTCATGTTCGAGAAGATGGCGAAAGTGGGGTGGGTCCAACCCTCGCCACGCTAACCGAAACAGGCGCCAAAACCTCGCGCCGTGCAGACAAGAGAGGTTCGAGGCAAGAACTTTCCTGTGACTAAGCTGGCCGGAGAGCGAGGAGCGGCATCCACTCCATGTGTTGCATGTTCTGTAACTATCAATTGAATCAACTTAAAATCTAGCGGAAGACGCACTTCTTCAGATCGTTTTCTACGTGTAGCCCTTCACTCGACTGGTTGTCTAATTACTCTCGGACAGTGTTGTCTGATCTCATTTTACCATTTAATAGTTTAACTGCCCCACCGACACTCTTTAGGCTTTCGCCCCTCCACACTCCCAAAACACCGCGGGCTACGAGTTATGACGCAAAAAGACGAGGAGCATGTCTCCCCGTCTGGGCCACCATCTGATGAGAATGTGAGGATAGGGACGGAAGATGCGGAGGCTGAGGGCCTTGACCTGGAACAACTGGGGCGTCAACGTCCGGCTGCGTTCAAGAACGGTCTTTACGAGGTGCTGTTTTGCAGCTCTCTCCTTGTCTCTATGTTCATGGCGGTATGTTGTGGGCACCAAATTTCACCCAGAGGACATGAACCTCTTTCTAACGCATTCCTGTAGGAATTCTTCATCTCTGGTTTCAACATCATCCTCCCCAATGTTGCCAAGGCGCTCGACATCCCAAAGGGCGCCCAGACATGGCCTGCAAGCGTATTCTCGCTCGTCACCGGTTCATTCCTTCTGCCTTTTGGCCGTCTCGCCGACATCTATGGAGCCTACATTGTCTTCAATCTCGGCATCGTCTGGTTTTTCATCTGGTCCTTGGTCTCTGGCTTCAGCACCAACTATCAGATGCTCATCGTCGCCCGTGCCCTCGGTGGTCTAGGGCCTGCCGCCTTTCTCCCCACGAGCATCATGTTGTTAGGCAAGACGTACCGCCCCGGCCCTCGCAAGAATTTGGTTTTCAGCATGTGGAGTGCATTCGCTCCGATCGGCTTCTTCCTCGGCATCATTACCGGCGGTGCTACGACGCAGTACTTGTCGTGGCGTTGGTATTTCTACCTTGGGTCCATTGTTACGTTTGTCGTCTGCGTGTGCTCCTTTATCACGATTCCCCGTGACGGCGCACAAACCCGCGCAGAAAACGCACATGTCAGGATGGACTATTGGGGTGCGGCAACCACTGTTCCGGGCTTGATCTTGACGACATTCGCTATCACTGATGGTGCTCATGCGCCTAACGGCTGGCGCACCCCGTACATCCTTGTTACGTTCATCCTCGGCGTATTGTCTCTGGCTGCGGCTGTTTATGTCGAGGGCTGGGTTGTCGAGCAGCCCCTCCTGCCGTTTGATTTGTTCAAGCCAAAGTACATGGGTCGCCTGTCCGTTGCGCTGTTCTTTGCCTACGGCGTGTTTGGCGTCTTTTTGTTTTACGCTAGCTTCCAGTAAGAGTCCCCCTCCGCCGCAAGGCTTCCTACTTTTATTCAACAATGTCTAACAATGGGTAGCATCAGCGAGTTCGTGGGGGCCTCAGCCCTTCAAACCGCCGTATGGTTCGCACCTATGGCAGCTGGAGGCATTATATTAGCCACTGTGGGCGGTTTCACGCTCCACTTGCTCCCCGGCCGTATTCTGCTCGTTATCTCTGCTAGCGGCTTTCTCGCTACTAGCCTACTTTTTGCTTTCGCACCTCGCGATGGCAATTACTGGGCTTACATTTTCCCCGCCATGATCGGTGCTACTATCGGCATCGATATTACTTTTATTGTCAGCAACGTCTTCATCACCACCAATGTCGCTCGTGAGCGCCAGGGCATTGCTGGCGCCTTGATAAATTCGTTGCTGTTTCTCGGTATCAGCTTCTTTCTCGGCTTAGCGGATCTAGCCGTCTCGGAGGATGAAGGTAGGGGGGGAACACAGGGTCACAAGGTTGCGTTTTGGTTTGCGGCCGCGTGCTCAGCGGTTGTGCTCCTCACATTTGCCACCATCAAGCTCGGTAAGGCCGAGAGCGAGTTGACAGTCGAAGAACGGGCACAGGCCGGAGCACATGGGGGCCTCCGGGAAGTACAGTCTGTGCCTCAAACGGGGCCGACTTTGGCGTGAACTTGGGATAATCGCAACGGGTTAGATAAAAGGAGTTTAAGGGTATGGGCTCATAAAGGCGCTCTTGGATATGGAAAGGGTTATTTGGATTTGTATTTCAGGGCATCACGGTTCTTACCACCAAGTTACAACTCATCCTTCACCCAGCCCTCACTTATTTCCTTTCTCGCCCTTTGCCGTTCCTCCCGTGTTTGCTTCCGTTCATGCCGTCTTATGGTTCGGTGCATCTTCTCCCACATCAGCCGCGAGTATCGGCCGGCTTCCGTCTCTGTCACTGACATTGCTTCGATCGTGAACGTGATGTCCCGTTGGCCAATGTCGCGCTGCGGTTTGGTATGGTCGACCGGCCAGGCAAGAACCGAATGCTCGATAGCCCTGGACTTGTATTTGGCCAAATTATTGAAGTCGCCTGTGATAGAAAGCTTGTGAGGATCTCGTATATCTTCATGAGATGGAGGATCCTTCGGGAGACCACTTACCCTCGCACTTACTCCCTTTCGCCACCCACAAGGGCAAGTTCTCATAGATAGCCCCAGCGGGAAACACCACAATCTTATCATCATCCGCTACCTCGACCTCCTTCTCCCCTCTCCCGCTCTGCTGTGGCGCGCCGGGTTCATTAGGCTTCACTGTTTTAGAAATTATCTCACTTTCCTCCTTCGGCTTCTCAAACACCCGAAACAACCACTTGTTATCATTCGCCTCGCTTTGATCTCTCTGTTGTTCCTCGATCCACATCCTTACACCCAATGGAACATCCGCCCACTCCATGACGACGATCTCCCTATCCTGTCCCTTGTGGTCTACTCCATCCCAACTGCCCACATAGTCCCGCTCACGCAGAAATGCTTCAATGCCCCGTTTCCAGGGCGCGAGGCCCGTTGGTGGTAGTGCAGACAGATCTTTGAGCTTGTACATTTTGGCGTTGAAGGTGGCGGAGTGTCGGCAATTGACCGTCAATCCGCCCGGATCTGTACCATCGCTAGGGAAGGGGCGCGTCCATTGGAAAGATGGGACCACACCGTGGTGGATGATGTCCCAGTTGAACCCGGCAAGCACGGGCAAGGCTTGAAGAGTAAGAGGGAGGATCAGGGGAAGGAGCATGTTGGGCCGTTGAGAATATTCTGAATACTGTGGGATTAGTTGCGTTGATAGATCGGCGTTGGGCTCTGTCAATGGCTGGTTAGTCCCCGATGGGAGCGGCCACGGCCTCGGGGTTCAGTAACGACAACAAGGTGTCTAGCGCCGTCGCGGGTCCTTGACGGCCTGACGTGGGTATTTAACAAATGCGATAACATTGCAACATGTGAGAAAGCGAATCGGCTATTTTAATGATGGTAACTCCCGAGCCCTAACCTTCTAGGCGCATGCTTAACATAGGCTAATTAATTAACTGCCGGCACCAATCATCATCTACTTGCCTAGTTTGGGGAAAATTTAATGTGCTATTGATTGACCTTGCTGAATTTGTCCAAACACGTGTCCGGTCTTGCCTAGGAAATTTCTCCGGGAGATAGGGTTATAACTGCCGACTTTACGTGTGGATTGTTCCCCGGAAACTTCGAAGGCAGAACCGCGAGTTTGCAGTCAAAACACAGTGTCCAGTATCTCGTATTGTAACAAGAGAGGCGTCAATCTCACCTACAGAAGACACGGGTCATCCTTTCAGGTGGTTTATGGAATGTACGTATAACAGAAAATAGTCACGACAACTTCGACACCGTTCCGAGATTCGTCTCTAGAGTTGGACCCAAGCTCGTATCTTGATTCTTGTCGCGTTTCCTGCTCTAAGTTCCCTCATTTTAGTAAATAATTTCTCACATATTTAACAGCCACTTTTCTTGGGCCCGTTGATTCAACCCACGAATCCACTGGACTGTCGTCCGTGCTGTGATGTCAGACAACTCCTCGTACTCCGTTGTATCCTGAGCCATCAGCCTCATCAGTGCATGCTCCCACGGCCCGATGTCTTGTTTGGGAACAGCGTAGTCTCCAGTCTTGGGATCTAGTTCGCCAGACACTGCGTTGACTGGGATGAGATACGGCAGGTTGAGCTTCGCTTCTGGGATCCCTCCGGCGTTGGAGGCAATAACGGGGATGCCGCGGAGCTGAGCTTCCGTGACGACGGCGCCCCACGCTTCGTTCCATAGAGAGGGGACCAGAAGGACTTTGAGTCTATCCCAGATATCTCTTTCGGTATTGGTGGTGGATTCCTCGATTCTAGCAATAGGTTGATTGGTGTTAGACGAGGGTCCTGTGGGTGGGGATGGAATATAATTGCACGAACCGAACGTTGGGCAGTTTGCTGAGCTGGTCAAGGTGTACTTGCTTTGTACCCCAGCTCTTCCAAGCCACGAACTTGACATTTGGTAGCCGCTTCGCCAACTCAATAAAGATCGGGAGCCCCTTCAGCCCACAAGCATTGATCAAGCCCACCTCGGACTTGTCTGCGTTAGTGCGCCGCATAGGAACATTACCTCCTTGAAGATACGTCCAGGTGGCATGGACAAAGAAGTTCGTTTTCAACTTGCCATACTTCATGGCATAGTCGTGAATACCGCGCGACACGGTCCAAATCCCGTCGAGTTCCCGCAACATTTGGTTCTCTGCGGAGGCAGATAAGCAATGCCCGGATAATCCACCGCAGAATGGACCAAAGGGAAGCTGCTCTGAGGAATGGACAACACAGACCCGCTTGAACTTGAGATGGGAATGCGGGCTTCCTTCTTTGAGCATCTGCTCGGTGATCTTCATCGTGAGGCCATCATTGAAGACAACATGGGTGGGACGAAAGCTAGCGATCTGGTTTGACCACAAACTAATTAGGGCTTTCAACCGGAGGCTGGGGGTGCCTTTCTAAAAGGTGAGAGATTAGCAACAATTAGTAGTTGTCAAGTTGGCTCATTGTTGGAGAGTATAAAGTACCTCCAAGTACGCCCGTTGATCCGCAGTCAGTTCCTCGCCCGGGTACAGTTTCCACAGGCTTCGAGAGATGGCAATGTTGAGAATGCGGTTCTCGTCAACAAACTTGGTGACCTTAAGTCGCCGTGCTTGGCCAGTTTGCGGATCCTTGCCAAGATGAACGTCGGGGAGGCGACACAACTCAGATTTAATCCCCTTAGACTTCGCCGTCACAGCCGCCTTCTCGATCTCGTCGTCAAATGCGAAGCATGTTTGTGCGACTGCATGACCATAGCTTTCGAGCTGATGAATGAAACCGTAGTTAGACCTGTAACCCCCGGATGCCGAATTGAGGCCGTGGGCCGTTTGGACGAGGAACACCCTCATCGTGCCAAGCACGTATAATTATCGCTTCAATGAGATTAACCACGAGAGGGTTCGGATGAGAAGAAAGTGGACTCTGGATTGCCACGAGTGGGGACTGAAGAGAGAGCGAAAGATGGACTATTTACATATTTTATTTGTAGCTGACCACTTCCCGACCGTTAAGACCAGCGGCCATTGATGTTTCATGACCAAATGGCGTTTCTTGCGGCAAAGTGAAACGTATGGTGGCCGTGTGCCGCTGCGAATCGGTTGTTGGCATCATTAATTATCGGTCAGCCGGTCGACTTGTGGGCCAACGCTTTCGCTCTTATTAATACCTCGGCGACCCGAAAGTTGATTGTTTCATAGGCTGCGTATAAAGACGAAGGATCAGGATCCGAGAATGTCAGATTTGGATATGACCAGTTATTAATAAGCGTTATCTTCTGGGCTCTAGTGGCCGTTAAAGACCGCCATTCCGTGATAGCGTTATCATACTTGCGATGCGGAAGGGCAACCAAACCATGTTGTAAATAACGTTGATTGTGGGCGACATTTTTGAGCCGAGGCAGTGCTTTTAGCGTGAGCGAAGCGAAGTTGGCGATCGATGAGACTATTCCCCAAGTTTCTTCGTGCTTAATGTTTCCTCTCTGATCTCCCTCAAGACCACTAAATAAGTAATATCAACCATGATCTGGGGAGTAAACTTTAATCCCTGGAGGGAAGATTGATCGAGTGACCGATTGTTGGATGCCGCAAGTTTTAATTCGTTGAACTGAGTTTCTTCACATAATTATACACCTGAGTTCTCTCATCAATTTCTGTATCGAATGTCCTGTCAATCTAGCTTCATGTTTAGGTACCGCTGATGCCGAAGGGGTTAATTGTGTTTTAGATGGGCAATCGTTCCCATTCTAGGATTTGGTGGTTCTGTATGCAGGGTTAAGCTCAGTCAGCGGTATCTTCAGCTGTGCAACGAAGGTTTGCTTGGCCGCTTTTCGAAAGGCATTTTTCCTTGAACCTGCCTTCATTTTACCTTCCTTTCTAACCTTTGTCACCGGGCAATTATGATTTCAATTTGCCTTTGCCAGTAATGTAATACTAGGTTTCTACAGACATGGAGCATGTGAAGACGCATCTCTCAGCTCCTCGGCGGGTTGAGATCGGGGTTAGCTCCGTTTTCGCCACCGAATGTGACGCGCCAACCGGCCCGCGGGGTCCCCTGAACGGAGGCGCTGGCCATAATATCCACAGTAACGCCCACGTGCTTAAAAACTGGTCGAATCAGAGCCAAACAACGCGCTCAGGAATCACCGGTTGCGACCGCGTCGGGCTCTCGCGGGTTTCAGTAAGAAAGGACGCATGTCGTCGGTGTGGGGAGGTGTACGAAGTTAGTTGGATCATTGGTTGTGATTTTCCGAACTGCCTCCACGGTCGCATTGCTCCTCCGGTATTGTTGACTGGCCCTAGAGGATTATAAAACCGGCTTACCAGGGACTCTGACAGTCCATGCTGTATTTCGGGTCGAAGCGTTCCACAACATCGCGCGCAACCTTATCAGAACAAGTTCCAGTTCCAAGGAGCTGGGCCATCACTGACAATGCGTGCTGAGGGACTTCTCGCCGTTCTTTCGGCCGTCGGTGCCAACGGCATCCGCATCATCCAAGCCAACGACGATGGCTGGGCCGAGCAGTATGCGCGCTCGTTCCACAATGGTCTGATTGCGGCTGGCCACGATGCGGTGCTCTCGGCTCCCGCTGAAAACAAATCCGGAACCGGTATGGTCACCCATCACGTCTTCTTTGGGTAATCGTGATCTTAATAATATTTTTAGGTTCCTCGGATGCTGAGCCCAGCCCTAGGGCGTCGGCCTGCCAGTATAACAGCTGCCCTGCCAACAGCGGGCCCATCGGGCGGAACGAAACTGACCCGCGATTGAACTGGGTCAACTCCTACCCAGCTACTTCCATGCGGTATGGCATCGACACGATCGGCCCCCAGCTTTGGGACGGCGCAGCCCCCGAGTTCGCCGTTGCTGGTCCCAACGTCGGCAGCAACCTCTTTTTGGCCGTTCAGTTCTCTGGTACCGTTGGCGCGGCCGTCTACGCTGCCAAGACTGCGAAGATCCCCTCCATCGCTTTCTCCGGCGCTTCAGACGGTACCATCCCCTTCTCCGACCCGGAGGCCCCGCGGAGCAAGGTGTATGCCGACCTCGCCACGAGTCTTACCAACGCTGTCATCGACAGCGGCATGCCGTACCTCCCTGAGGGTGTCTGGCTGAATGTGAACTTCCCCAAGGTGGAAGGCCAGTGCACCGATGTCAGCCAGTTCAAGTGGGTGTTGAGTCGTATTAACGTCGGTGTGTTCTCGGAGCCGGATACTGAGCAGTGCGGCGGGACGAGGCTGCCCACGGAGACTTCGGTGTTGGATACGGATGGCTGTTACATCTCGGTTAGTGTGGGGGATGCCAACGATAAGACGACTGCGCCGGCGGAGAAGCAGGCGGTGGTGTTGGAGAAGTTGCAAAGCATCCTCACTTGTCTCCCGTAAGGGACGGGGAGCAGTTAGTAAACTCGGGGATAAAGAGACTCCGAGAATCCGAGTCAAGCTCGTAATGGGTAGTGATTCTTGGCATCGATATGGGATATGGGTCCATTGCCCATGTCTTTGCTAAATGCAAGGACCCCGAATGGAAAGGTGATCTCTACATGTCAATAGGTCATCAATCGCTGCAACCCCTTCCTCGCGTGATGCGAGAGATTTTCGTTAACAGAGATCTCAGCCAAGTTAATTAAACTGTTAGTTAACCCTTTCCCTCCCGGCTAGTTAATTCTTTTTGAGATCTGCCAGTTCACCAGGAACGGCAAAGATTCCACCGCCACGCTCTCTGAATGCTTGAACTCAAACCGCTTCAAAATAGAAATCCAAACTTGCCTTGATCAGCGTCTGGGTGCGGTTAGGGGTAACTACATGAGTGTCGTGCACTCGACGGGGAAAGGGTGGGCCCAGAGTTCTATTTTTGGGAGCTCGACGTGCCGAGGTGACGGAGAAGCCCGGGGCTTCATGGGGGTTTGACGCTGCTCTGAGCTTAATGAGGGTCTCGGCGCGCACGGAACGCTCGATTGTCGGCGATTTGTGGGATTTTCCACGGGGTTACTTCGTCCAGGGCAGTGCTAAATCCGGGGAAGCTGGCGAACATCTCGGTCGCCATCTGGGAAATTCTCGATCTTTGTCTGGGTATCCCCCCACGTCGTTCCGTCAAACCCCGCCAAGATTCGACCCGTCGGGTCAGCGTTCGCCCGTGACGGCGCAACATCCGCGTCGGTCAACGGGCGGCAGCATCGTATCTGACACTGTCGTCGTAGCTAGAAGCCGCCCCTTTTGGCAATGTGTTGGTTGAATGCAACTGAGCATGGTTCTCGCGGAAAGTAATTCCGCGATACTTGCCATCCAACGTCACATTGTCAAATCTTAGACGACCAGATGGAGCCAGCAGAACCACACGATCTTATTATGTATCCAACGAGGTCGCGTGCGTGTTGACCGGATTTGATCTCGAGAGGGGAAGCCAGAGGGCTAAAAATATGGAAGCATTTAAGGGGGAGAGATCTCCTCCCACCTCTCTCATGGGTTCTCCCGTCACTCCAAACTCAGCAAGCACTGTCGAGTACCCAAGATGAAGCTCTCCTCGACCCTTTTCGCCGCCGCCGTGGCCTTCCTGGCCCCTGGCTCCCTTGCTGCGGACCCCAACGACTGCAGTTCGGCGGCCAAGGCCCGGACCGGATCCGACTTCGTGCTTGTCGAACAGGCCGACAACAAGAACGTGGCTTCGTTGGCCAAAATCCTGAAGAACGTTACTGTGGCTACCGTCTTCAACGATGCCAACCACCAGATGACGACCCCTAGCACCGGTCGATTGGCTTGGCAAGCGACGTCCGACTTCAACGACATGGCCACCACAAAGTGGGTGCCGCAAGGTCTCACTACGACGGCCGATGCCGACGCCAGCGGCAAATATGAGGGCAAGGACGGCTTTATCGTCAGCTGGCACCGTGACGACGACAAGAGCGTGCGCATCACCTTTGTCGACCGCGCCAACAAGAAGTACCGCCACGCCCTCCTGGTGTATCCTCATGCGGCCGATGACTTCCGTGAGGTGCCTGTCCATGCCGGCGGCATTGCGTGGTACGGCGACAAGCTGTACGTTGTGGACACCAGCAACGGTATCCGCGTCTTCGATCTGGCCAACATCTGGCAGGTCAGCACCGGCGACGCTGTCGGCAAGAGTGGTAGCACCTACACTGCGGCTGGCTACAAATATGTTATTCCCCAGATTAGGTCAGTGGCAACCCTCGTTGAGAATGATCCGGCGTGAGGACATGCTAATAAGTGTCAACAATACAGGTGGTACAAGTGGTCGTCTGACTTCCCCTTCCGCTTCTCGTACATCTCGCTGGATCGCACCGGCTCGCAACACGAGCTCATGGTCGGCGAGTACCAGACCGACACGACCGGCCCAATCCGCTTTGTCAAGTACGCGCTTGACTCGACCACTGGTCGCCTTAAGACGACTAGTGCAACTGCCAAGGGCACTTGGGCCTACTGCGTCGGCATCGAGCGCATGCAAGGCGCCGTGTCGGCCAACGGCAAGATCTATATCTCGCGCAGCAACGGTGCCAGCAACGGCGATCTCTGGGGTTGGGTCCCCGGCAAGGCCGCTTACAACAACGCCGGTTTCTTCCCGCAGAGCCCGGAGGACTTGAGCTTTGACTCGCGCAATGGAGGTCGCGTCTACACCCTCACCGAGGCCACGGGCAAGCGGTACATCATCGACTCTGACTCTTCGAAGGTCAGGTTCTCCTAGATATTAGAAGCAGGAGACGGCGATTCTGGCTGGAAATTGAACATATCGGGGGGCAAGCATTGTACATAAATCTGCTTCTTCGTGGTCAACTCGACCCATATCGTGGCCGCAATAATTAATAAAAGTTCAACTGAGTTTCTCTGCTAATCGAGTTTGAAGAAGTCACGAACATTTGGGCGCTGAGAGAATAATGGTCATGCTCGGTAATCTCAACAGGCGTGTATTCAGAACAATGCCGTAGGCTTGATGGGCCTGTCTCCGAAAGAATGATCTGGACCAAAGATTGAGAGAAGGTGTGGCCGAAACACGCCGGTGGCTGCCCTATCTCGGATGATTCGGCAATAGTTACGCATGTTGGCCCCGGAGATATGGAAATGTTGAGAAGTCGCGAGACTCCATTATGAGCTTCGCTCAACAAACCCCATTACCGAAAGGATTCCGCAGGCTTCGAGTAACATGGTCGTCTAGAATTTGCAAGTACCTGCAACCTACGAGATACGTCGACTGGTAACTATGCGTTTCTTCCACTTTGCGAAGCTCGCCTTCATTTGCTTGACATAATTATGGAGGCCTTGAGGAAAGACGGGCCGATTCACCTAACGTAAAACCTGCATAAATCAAGCGATAAATTATAATTAGTGGGAACTACCTCGGGACGAAGAGCTAGGGCTCAGCGGTAGAGTTTGGATGCATGCCGGGCGCAATCTGTGTACAATGGCTGCATCATGGCCCACGTTTAGGTCCCCGTCCCACATGCTATCTGTTGCAAATCTGAGTGGTTCTCATACACCATGCGCCAATGTTCACGAACACCAAATGCAGCTGACTGCAGGATCAAGGTTTTCTGGATTATCAGCCCCTCTCGGGAGGAACCAGGTAACCGGCCCGAAGTTGTGTGTGTGTGTGGCTCGTGGACGGTTTCGAAGCGCCTGGAACAGCTGAGGGCTCACCGAGAACTGCATGTCATTTATTATTGAGTGGGACACATGGAAACCGAAAGGGGGCGTGTGTTTATCCCGGTTTGAGTTCGGCGCATATCTTTCGGCCGGTTCACGGGCGTGGTCTTGTCATAACCGATTCGCTGGGCCGAGTCCAAGTCGCGAGGACGCGAGTTGAGGGTTTTACGTTCCTTGCATATCCGATACCATCGGGATGCCACTGTTCTCGGAAGTAAGGAAGAGCCGGGTAACCAACTGCATGGTAACATCCGGTCCCGGCAAGATCGAGATTGGTCGGGCGCAGAGATGGCCGCGAGGGATTCGTGGGCTCGGCGACAACGGCAGCCTCTCTGGACCACGAGGGAAGGTCGCAGGATTTCACCGGTGCATACCTGAGAAAACTCTTCGGTGGTGTGGTCATACTATCGAGTCAACCCGACTGGGAAGGAGGTGTCGTCAGATCCTCTGGTACCGATAATATGTCAACCTGCATTGTAACGAGGTGACAAATGGGACATGCAGGGCGTCGCAGTGACCAACGAGGCGTTGAGGCGCTTTCGCGTGAAAGTTCAGCGAGTTCAAGCAGACCGCCTCTGATTCTCGGCGTTGCCCGGTTGTCGGCTCTCCTCGCTTACCTATCGAGACCGGGTTTGGCGTATATTAACCGGCACCTTCAGGAGCCTCATTGGTCTGGGGGTGTTACATTGGTTAAATCAATGACAGAGCCTCGGTCTCGCCAATGCGGCTGTTTCATTCCCGTGGTGACATCGTGGCACGGGAAGCATCTCGAAAATGCAGGGCGATATTGCCCTATCAGCCGCTATCAACATCTCGAACAACGGCAATGGACGGGCGTCAACCAGTATCACGCCAGGAAGTCTGAATTTTCATACTCGGCATGGAGTGGCGTCGGTCGGTCAGGCAGGCGAAGAAAGCACACGAGCAGGGCATTGTGATCAGTTCTCATTGTCGTGTGGGATGTGATTATGTTGGTAACACGAGCCACCGGGCGACTACCACTGGACGACGAAGAGTTACAGTCACACACGTAGTTTGTATCCAATGGTAATTAGAGGGTGAATTAGATCTACTTTTCGCTCTCATCCGGCGCCCACCGTAAAGCCGTCATGACTTGCTAACCTGAATTAAACCGCTAAACAAAGAGGACCCGATCACCCTGCCCGCGTCACCATCCCTCGTGTCCTTAAATGTGAGATTAAAGAAAGAATTCAAATTATGTGAGTGGGGGTCTATTCCTGTGTTCCACAGCCTGGAGGCTTAGCCGCAGCAAACGGTGGCCTCTTGAGACGCACTTGTTTGCTGTACACTGCTGGCCTGTTAGTAATGATCAAAAAGCTATGTGGTGTAAACGGTCTTTACTTACCCTCCCAAAGGCTCCCAGTGGAAGATGAAACTCCCAAGATACGCGCCGATGAAGATGCAAATAATGATGTAACCATTGTAGTACATGGCGAGCCTGCTTCGCGTCAGCCCAAGTCCACGACACGCTTGTGGAAGGTTGAGAAAACAAATGGACGCACAGCATGACGAAGTAAGCAACAGCAAACTGCAACATATGCAAGAGTGCTCGAATAGCCTGTTCAAAAATGCTAGGCCGGTAGCCCTTGCTGACAGCCGGGGCGCAATTGCGAGCAGGAGTGCCCTCCTCGGAGATAATTTTGGAGGCCGCAGAGGTGACGAGGAGAGATGCGGCATGCTTCTTGATCAAGAAGCGGTCGTACTCCTTGACGCCACGGCGCAGCATCTCGAGGACGATGACGAGAAGGACAACACCAATGCAGGAGCCGGCAAAGACGGCGTTGGACGTGATCTTCCACGATGAGGCAAGGAAACATGAATCGATGGTGTTCCAATTCCAGAGCATCTGTGATAGAGGAGGGTGGGGGTCAGTAAATCCGCCCATTAAGTTTGACGATGAGGAGCGCAACAGGACATACAGAAATTTTGCAACCGTTCCCTCCTCCCATGCCACCCATACCGCCCATGCTTTGGGCGGCCCCTGTAGCCGCGGTGCCGGCAGCTGCCGTCGTTGTCGTCGCCATCGTCATTCCCCCGTGTTCCATGTTGAGTTAAGCACAAGCTGACAAGCTGGTCGTTTCGTGATCGACAGTAAGTAGGCCGGACAAGGTCCCGAACGAGTTTCTACAATGATTGTGGGCTGTGACTTATAAGTTGGCTTGCCCGCACTTGGCGTCGTAAATTCGGAGGGCGCAGTGGGAAGGTTAAAAACACGAAGGGAAAGAAGGATGTGGGACTGGCAGTGGCGCAGATGGATGTCTTAAACTTGCTCGTTAAAAATATCCAGCCATTTGTGCACCGCCAGGTGACGCTCCGGCCAAGAGGACGAGCAAGTATTGATCAGGACTGGATGGAGCCCAAACGGCCAAAGCGACTTCCCAACTACCCGGTCCGCAATCGATGATTGGGGGTCTTTCTGCGGCTGCCTTCCTTGAGCGGTCACACAGACACAGTAGGTTACCTGCCGTGCCATGCGGGTGCGGCGCGGGATTTGCCTTGGCAGAATACTCAAGTGGAAAAGTTGACGCAAACCATGGTTCAATCGCGCAGTTTTGAGCTCGTGTCGGCTTCCTTTTCTGCATGCGAAGGTGAGGGCGGAGCCAATTGCGTTCATTTGAGCAGATTGTCGCGACGCACTCGACTTTTCTCTCCCCACCCATCTGGCAACCACAGAACTGAGCCACGTTGGTGCCGGCCGCTAGCCCGCTGGTCGGGGCCGGGCGCCCTCTGTTGGGCCCCGATTCGTGCGCTGTGGGTGGTTCGGGCGGCGGGTTGGGGCCCGTTAACCACTGTCTGCCCTTTCTTTGTCTTGTTTGGTTGGTGCAAATGTGTCTGGCTTTCCGCAGACGTGAGACATGAGCTACCAAGAGAGGCATGTGGCACGGTTTGATAAGATAATAAATATTTAGAAATTTATGCTCTCCTCTAAAATCTATAATTAAAAGAAACTCTGAAGGGAATGCTGGTGTCGCGTGAGCTCTAATAGCTTCGATGCAGGTATCATGGTTCATTACATTAGTGAAAGTTCCCATCTTGGGGTGAATGCGTCAATAATCCTTCAAATGGTCGAGCCCAAGCCGATCATTCTCGGCTTCTTCGGGTTGGCTTTCGTCTTTGCTCCGGCGGGGCTACGAAAGCTGTACCCGATAATCAGCTCAAACCCCCGCGGGCCTCAAGCAACGTTGCGAGGGGTTAAGTTGCGTCAAGATGAAGGAGACAAAAGGAATGCACTGTGTAAGCGCGGCATAAGGGTTCCGACTCCTCGGTTCACCACCCGGCATTCGTCGTGGGTTGATGGTCCCAAGTAGCTCCCTCACTTAACTATACCCCTCTTGGCCAAAGCAGGGACAAGATCCAGCGTAGTGGTCGCAACCAAAACCTGTGCTTGGTAGGGTACGTCTGCTCGCCCGGGGTTGCTGTGTTGCCCGAATTGCGCCGAACCATGGCAGCAACCACTGCATCTGCTTTTTCGGCAAAGGTAGCTGGTTTTTGCAGTTTGATCGGCGTAATAACGACGTTGGTCCCCGTTGCCTTCTTCCCTGTGAGCACATTTGGTGTGGTGGTGACGGTAATGACCACAGGGGTCCTTGGTTGTGTTTCCGAATCCATCGGCCTGACGGATGTGGGGATAACAATAACAGGGGGGGCAGACAGCGCCTGCTTCTTCTCTGGCTCCTCCGGCTGTGCAAGATGCTTCAACTGGAAGTGCGCCCGGCCCTGCTCGACTTCAACCACTCCGCCCGTTACACGACCAGCCTTGAGTGCGGCCCTCGCGAGCTTGGCCTTGGTGACAAGAATAAGGTCACTGCCGTTGAGCTGCACGACCGAATTGTGCCACGGAGTGGGAATGTGTAGAAGGTCGAGCGAGGTCATGAGCTCGCCGTCAGCCGACAAGCCTTCGACAGCCCGAACCTTGGAGGGGTCAAAAAGCTGGATGCCAAATTTGGGGCCAGCGTTGTTGTGTCTAGAACCGGGCATTGTGGTTAGTGCAAGTAATTAATGTCGAGGTCTGAAGAGTTATAGGCTTACGCATGGATTGAAAGCCGAACATGATTGGGGAAGAGCATCTCGACCAGATTGGAGTATGCTTGGTTGCGCTGGGATTAGGGTGTTAGTTACTTGGATGGTCTCCGTTACCGCGAGAAACGTAAATGAACAAAGAGTAATTACTCACCAGAATCATCTCAAACGCAACCTTGGCTGACAGTTTCTTCTGCTGTGACTTGCTCATGCCCCGGGTATGCGGATGATGCTCCAAATCCTCTAGCATAAATCGCGAAAACCCACGGTAGAGAGCCGTGATGGCCGGATCCTTGGAGTCGATCCGGGCCCGCACTGCTGACTTTTGTGGGCCGCATCCTGCCATCAATATCCGTCGGCACATCTCCGCCTCTTCTGTCACCCTGGTGTTGACGTGGTGGTCGATGGTCGGGATGTTGAGCTGCTGCGCCAAAGTCGAGAGCCCCCCTTGTTGTGACCCCACGGTAGCGAGCTGGAAGAGGTCAACAAGCGATTTGAAGCCGATGCGGCCGACATTTCCCCGGCGAAGGCCAATGGTGTGATTCATGGCCTTGAGCTTCTCGCCATATGCGTCCACATCGGCGTCGTTCACGCCAATGCAGTCGCTGAAGACGTGACCATCGCTGATGACCCAAAGCTTCGCACCAGGCTGGTAGAGTTTCTCGACGGCTTTGACAAATCCGTGCAAACGCTCGAGCGCGAGCTCCTCTCCTCGGTCCGGATCTGGGCCAGTAACCTTATCCCCGTTGGAAGACTTGCACGGGAAGGCCGGCAGGCAAAGCTCGATCGAAACATTTTGAGCAGTAAAGTGGCGTATGCGTTCGGTAAAGTACCTCCGTCCTCCCAGAGCCCACTTGTCGTCCCTTCCTTGATACCTGAGATAGGTGTCAAAGAGGTCCACCAGTTTGTCGGTGATTTGTTCGGTCTCGGGAGTTGGACTGGGCTGGGCTCGTGCACAGAGGTCCGCTTGATCGAGGATTAACTGCACAAAGAATTGTTCGAAAGGCGCCTCTTCTGCCTGGGGAACCCGGCTGTTGACCATGACCGCGTTGCTGTTGTGCTGGGAGGCATGACGGTAAACCTTGAGGTCTGAGTCTCCAAGTGGTTCGGGCTGGGATTGAAGCAAGGTCCAGTTCTCACGGACCCATTCCTCTCTAGGGCCGGTACAGTGTATCAGTCTGCCCTTGACGTCCTGAAGGAATGAGCCCTGGAAACGATGGTAGAAAGATTGCCCTTCGTTGGAAAACTCCATGGCGCTTGTAAGGAAGGTCCAAATGAGACAGGCGGCGTTGGGAAGGCACGGTGCCTAGTGAGATTCAAGTTGTTTGAGGTCCCAGAAGCGGGCCGGAAATTAGGATTATCAAGTACCACCTGAGGTAACTAAAGTAAAGAAGGTTGAAGTGTGCACTTGGTTAGGTGCCGTAGGAGATGGGATCTGGGGATTTCGGCGTCGGATGGGTGGCAGCATCCTGTTTCTTTTAACATTGATCAAAGAGCCGAGAGTCGCCGATAGCATCGCCCAGCATTCTCAGTGCTCACAGCCTCCACACATCTCTGAACTTCCACATCCAGACTGGCTAATCCGATATCCGTGCGGACGTATCTTGTCTAGTTCATGGGGAAAGGGACTTACAGGCAGAACCTGAGCAGACACCAACAGCGGCTTGGATGGATGGCAGAGAGCCGCTGACTGGAGCGGCCTGCGTCTGCACAGGCGCGCCGGGGTTTCTGATTGCGCCAACGACCGAGGATTGAAGGTAGGATAACCCGGACCCGGGGGTGAAAGTAGTGGCCGATAATCCGCCAAGAAGATCGCGAACAGTTGCCTTGACTCTAGGTCGACAGCGCGCGTCCCAAGACTCTTGGCTGTCGGCGGTGTGCTTCTAAACAAAGCCGAAGAGAGGCTCGTCTGGGCCGGCTGGAGGTTGTGGTCGTACAATGCCGCAAACAGTCGCAATGGTTGCGCAGTAAGTTGGGTTGCAATGAGTTGAGGTTCCGTGGGGGGCACAAAGAATAAAGTTGGACCGTTGGACTTGGCCAAATGGAAACACGAATTGGTCACAGGCTCACAGCCCGGCTCCTTGGTCCACAGCATGTTTGTGGCCGCGCCTTTGCCGCTATTCTTAGGGTCCACATCCCTGTCAGCCTGATATTTGCCGATCCATGCCGCTGCCTCCCGACCGGGTGTGTGATTTTTAAAGGTGTGAAAACAGTGACCGATGGGGGTGAGCCCGGTGAGGGGTTCTTGACGGAAGCGAGGCTGTGGGGCCATCGGGCCGGCCGCTGCGACCCGGCCTTGGCAGTTGGCAATAGATAGTAGTGGCAATGTCCTGAGTACAAGGTGAGAACGGGGACGTCGGCGGCTCAGGATGGGTTAATTATTTCCAAATTGATGCATATTGTGACGAATGCAGTGGCCAATTCAACATTGAGTGATGCGGATTTAGTGTACAGAATGCGACCCGGTAATCCGAACAACACCGGAATGATGCATCCCATGTAACTTCCCCTTCTGGAATTGGTCTCAGCGAGCCAGCGCAACCCCCAAGACCTTTCCGAGACCCAGATCTTAGTCACCACGTCGAACTAAAGCCCCGGACAAATCTGAATACAACACCCAGGGGTAATTGGAAGTTAGAGGATATTGGGCCAGTACCCTCCCCGCGGCCCATCGACAGTGGGTTGGAGTCGTGGACAAGGCAAGCAGCTAGCCTGACTTCATACGCATTCACAAACCCTTTGACCAGTAGCCGAAATTATTCGGATGACCCTGGCAAGGTATTAGGAGTCATGAAACAGATGGTTTTCGAGGGGTGAAATAATAGAATTCCTGTGTTGGACGTTGCATGCATAGGTAGGGTCCCACCTCCAACGCGCAGGGGAATACCTGCCCGAGAAGTAACTGGATCAAGTCCGCCTCGAGAATTGGATACGCTTCTCCGAACATGACAAATTCTCCGTGAATAATTTAGCAGGGAATGTTCACACGTCATAAGGTTTTAGACATTGTTGTCAGTCGGACCACAAAACGGCGATAGATCCAAGGTGTGCCCCCCTTTAATCCGGCTCCCTTAACAACTAGGTATCGTTGACGCAGAATAGTGGATATCTTGCCACGTTCCCAAGGTTCAAGCCAAATCCTTCTGCCTGGCGGATAGCACAAGCCTAAGAGCACGTGGATACAATGGTCCAGCCTGGGAGTGAAGTCACCTGGTTAGTATTTCTTGGCGGATTCGAAGGAAGCCAAAGAGATCAACGGGAAAGGCGGATATGGCGTATGGGGTCTTACCGGTGTCTTCCTGTCCACCCATGTCGGGTCTAGAGTCCAGCTAAATTCCCGTATGAGGGCAACAAGCGTGATGCGCATCTGTAACACAGCAAATTTCTCCCCTAGACATGCACGGCGCCCACCGTGGAAACTGATGAACTCAGCCTTCGCTCGCCGCTGACGATATTGTTTTTGGATAGCCAGTGAGGAGTCGCCCCATCGTGCCGGGTCAAAATTATGCGCCGTTGGCCCCCAAATGCCGGGGTCCCTGTTGGTCGAATAACAATTGTAGCCCAAGTAAGTGCCTTTTGGGATGACAACGTCACCGCCAAGAAGTGCATCCTTGCTCGCCCTGCGGTTCACGAGTTGGCCGATGGGTGGGAAGAGGCGCAGACTCTCGTAAATGACCGCTGTCAAGAAGGGCATATCTTGGAGGGTGTCTGGATCAGGCTCAGCATGACCCACGCCCTTGCTCTGCTGGATTTCAGCAAGAAGCCGCGTTTGAATATTCTGTGAGACAAGCAAATCTGTGTCAGCCCGACTAGTATCAGGGCATGCTTTGAATCTTGGACTTACCGGATGCTTGGCCAAGAGGTACAACGTTGAAATCATGCAAAGTTGGGGGTTCTCCTGGCCGGCCACGAAGGCAACCGTCAGGTTATCCAGCAGTTGTTTCTCTGTCCACGTACCAGACTCACGGGCCTTGAGCATTCTGGTCCCGAGGCCGTCAGGACTCGGCCCCGAGGACAATCGGGTTGAGTCCCCTTTCTGAGTCCGCACGAGCGCACTGCGGAGCTCATTCTTGAAATTGTTGACTATTTCGCGTGCCCTAGTGCGGCTCGGAAACGGGAGGCGATCAAGAAACGGAAAATTCATGAATATGGGCTTAAAGATCTCCCGTTTGACAGCACTTTGAAGAAGGTTGATCGGGGCATTTGCTGAGCTCAGTGCCTAGGAAGTTAAACGTGTCAGCGATTCGAACAATTTCGCAGGCGACCCGTCTGTTTCTTACATCGAGGTTTGCCTGCAGAACGATTTCGGAACAGTTGGCGACTGAATATCGCTGCAAAAGTTCTTGCACCGGAATCCCTCGCTCACCAGCCTGGGACTGCGTCTCCTGCAGCAGTCCGCAGAGGCGATTTGCGTTCCGCGCAATTTTGTCCGCTTCGAAGCTTCTTTGTAGCCCGGGCTTGACCACGGATTGATAGCCCCTCCACACGTCGCCGTAACTAGAGATGATGTTGTCCCCAAGGAACTGGGCGAGCACGCTATGGGGAATCTTTTTCTGGTTCCCGCTCTTTTGGTACAAGTCTTCATCCTTGAACATTTCGGCCAGATACGACGGCCGGTGAACCAAGATATTCCACTGCGCCCCGAAGAAGAGCTTCACAGCACCATGAGTCAGGAGGGGCCGTTCGATGTATTGGCGAAAAATGTCCGATTGGTCGACATCTTTGAAAAAGGGGATGAGAGCGACCCAGAACGGCACTGCCGGAATGTTGATTGGATATTTTGGAGGAAGAAGTACGGTGTAGTAAACAAGCGAAATCGACAGGATCCCCAATAGGGCCAATTCAGCGACAAACAAGAACATCTCGAATAGGTGCGGCGTTTATGGTGATGGGATCGATTTTGCAATTAGTATGATGCTGCAGCTGGTGGAAACTTCATGATTGCTTCTGTTGAGTTGAAAGATGGTTTATACTGTCAGTAATGTTGGCGACGGAGCTACGTAGTTAGCTTATCACCACTGAGCGCGAGAGTGAAGGTTGGCACCAGCTACGAATCTCTGAGACTGCGCCCTGATCACGCCTTGTGCGAGAGGCGTGGGGGGTGGCTTTAGCCGAATAACTAATTGGCGCTTGCCGATGACAGCGGCCTGTGTGCCGAACAGGGGTCCACGCCAAGACGCGGACACGAGTCCTCTGGCTTTGTCGCTTGTCGCGGCGTCGCCCCCAACGGGCCTAACCTAACAACTCTCATCAGTCGACGTGACGGATGCGGGCAGGATGATGGCTGTGCCTTCTAATTACAGATGCTCCAGGCTTTACACAGATGGGGATATTTCAACCTCGAATTTCAGACTGGCGAAAAGCAAGCCCCGGCCGGTGTGTGCTGTGTACTCGTTTATTATCAGTTTCTCGCCATGGGAATTGCAACCGAGAACCAATCATGGATTCTCTAAGATTCGACCCACCACTTTCCGATTTACTCGGGGTCTCTGCAGGTGATACACAAATCAACGCCCGAGACGGTTATCTTTGACCCGTCTGTGAGTGAACTCCGAACCCGGCCGTAAGGTGGACATCTTCCCACCTACACATATAGTACCTCCCCTCCTTGCCTCATGCAGGTCAGAATCGCCCCCGGCCCCTACCTGCAGATCGGCACTGCTGCACTACATACACCTGCAACTGACAGCCAAGTCTTTTGCTGGCAGGCCGCAGCACCGCCCACCGAGGAGGAGCACCAACGAACAGGAGTCGGCGTTAACTAGTTGCAGCCAAGGACCGCCCACTTATACACACCACAATGCCCGTGCCAAAAAGGATTCGCCTGATTTCGGGGGCCGCGCTGTTGGCACGTACAGATTTCGCTGCCAAGTATCTTGAGAAAAGGCCGTCCAGTGCAGAGTGGGAACAGCAGGAAATCTCACAGACCATCACCCATTATTATCCCAAGATGGAGCCCCCGTCATCACCGTCCCAGTCAGCAACAACGACACCACCTCAACTCCTTACACCACCGGTGCCCCAACCCGAACCTTTAGACGCTGAGAAGGGCTTGGTCACCCCACCGCCCGCCTATTCTGCGTTTTCACCATGGCGACGGCGTTTTATTCTCATTGTTATCACTGTCGCTGGTTTTTTTGGGCCTTTGGCCGGGGGTATCTACCTCCCAGCGTTGCCAGTCCTGGAACAGGAGTTCAATGCCACCGCAACTGCTATTAATGTCACAGTTTCTGTGTTTATGTTGACGTTTGCCTTTGGAGTGAGTCTCAATCCTTTTGATGATCATGCCAAGTTTGACTAACCTTGTATGTCCGATGTAGCCTCTTTTTTGGTCGAGCTTCGCGGATTGGAAAGGCCGAAGGCCGTTGTATTTGATCTCAATTGCTGTTTACATCCTTTCCAACATCCTTATCGCTGTGGTCCCCGCGAATTATGGCGCCCTCGTCTTTCTGCGCATAGTACAAGCGTTTGGCGCTGCAGCCGTGGTCTCCATGGGCGCTGGGTCCGTTGCTGATGTATGACCCTCATGGAATTATGCGTCCTGACCGTGTTAAAATTTTAACCCTGATGCAGACCACCGAACCAAAACACCGGGCTTTTGCCATGTCCATCTTTTTGATGGGCCCCCAATGTGGCCCCATTCTTGGACCCGTGTTGGGCGGCGCACTGGCGGAGGCGAACTGGCGTTGGATATTTGGTTTCCTTGGTATGTGGCCTCGGGTCCCTTTATAGGGTGGATTGTGGTGCTGTGATGAAACCCGGCTAACATGGCGCGCCTAGCAATCTCTGGATTTGTGCTCTGGCTGGTCATTCTGTTTACGCTACCTGAGACTCTTCGCGCCCGAGTTGGGAATGGCAATATTTACCAAGATCGCAGCTTATTCTTTTGGCCACCTCAGCTATCGTCTCCGCTTGCACCCTCTTGGGAGCGTGGTCCTCCGCCTCCGGTTCCGACCCTCAAGGGATACTGGCGTTTATTTATTTACCCTCCTATTGGAATCGTGAGCTTCAACACGGCTTTGTTGTACTCGACGTACTTTGCCATCTCAGTCGAGCTTCCGATAGAATTGTCGGCAAGGTACGGTTGGTCGTCTGCCGCTGTCGGCGCTGGGTTTCTCGCCGTTGGTGTCGCCATGATTATTGGCTCACTTTGCGGAGGGCGCTTTTCCGACTGGCGCCGTGCACGAGCTGCCGAGTCTGCGCCGGATGGGAAAGTTGACCCCGAGTTCCGGCTGGTGGATCAGATCTGGGGAGTCTTGGTATGCGTGGCTGGTTGTGTCATGTACGGATGGCTGCTTGAATATTCTTGCCATCCGGCAACGGTGCTTTTTGCAACATTTTTGAGTAAGGCCCCTCTTGAAAGAATGTCTAGGGCATTTGCGGTGTTCGTACTGACCGTCTTACGTAGCTGGGTTCGGTATGAACTGGGTGTTCGTCACCACTACTGCATTTCTCACTGAGTGTGTCGCGCAACAAGCAGCAGGGGCGTTTGCCCTCGGAAATATGCTCCGAAACCCCGGCGCTGCCATAGCCGCGGTGCTCATTCCGACGCTCGTATCCAAGATGGGAACGGGGTGGTGTTTTACTGGGCTAGCCATCCTAGACCTTATCTTTGTCGGATCAGCTGTCATTGGTAAGGGCTGAACATCTTTAAATTACTTGGGATAGAACACTGCTAATCTGGACTCGTTTAGTTCTACGCATCAAGTGTCCCGGATGGCGGGCTGAGAGGACCGCGAAGATGAAGGCTGCAAGTGGCACTAAAACTGAGCGGCGAACTTAGCCGAGGCATCCGGTGCTTCTCACATCCCCAGGCGCGCAATTCATTCAAAAATCAATAATAATTATACTGAGCATGGTGATTTGGCGTATCATGATTGAGCATGTTGACACAAAATAATGAAGTTGCAAGGACTTTTATTAGTTCCAAATAATACTTTTTAACCAACGTTCGTTCATTTTTGCACCAATCGATCTAGGATTAGTGTAGAATAATCAACAGAGTTTCCCATGAATCCTTGATTCTGGACTGCTCGCATCCAGGGGCCGGGAGCTTCCACGTGGGTCCTTCCTCTCCCCACGTGTCGATCGTTTGGCAGTTGTTCACCGTTGCAGGAGATTGGTTGGTGTGGAAGGTTACATTCTCTCTCCAGCCCGGGTCAGGAAGGCCGCAGGGAAACTGGGAGCTCGAGCCGAGAGGCTGCCGGCGAAAACGGAAGGTCTCAGCTCACGCCCAATCTTCGCCGGTGCCAAGAGATGTCAACGCACGTGCTGATAGGACGCTGCCTCCATGCCAACGCTCGCCGGATCAACATTTGGTGGGACCCGAGACAGCAAGCGGAAATAAAGAGGCCTGTTGGTCTGCCCAGAGTTGCACCGTCGTTAAGGTTCCCGGCATCCTGGACTTCGCTTCGCGCGCTCATCACTTAGGGGTTAAGGGAATTCCTTTCTCGTGAGGTTTGCGTGATCCTCGCTAGGGTGCTACTCACGTTAAGTTATGGCGATTAAACAGCTCTTGACGGCTGCGTGCCTTCTCGGCTTGGCCTTTGCGGTTCACGAGGATCATTTGGTTAGCCGAAAGCTCAACAAACGCTTTATCGACGACACGGGCAACTACAACATTTCGTTCTACCACATCAACGATGTGCACGCCCATCTCGACCAATACACCTCTTCCGGCACCGACTGCACCGACCCCAAGAAGGGTTGCTTTGGCGGCTACTCTCGCGTCAAGACCATCTTGAAGGAGACGCGACCGTCGCACCCGGACTCCCTGCTGCTCAATCTCGGCGATGAGTTCCAAGGCACCATGTTCTTCTCCTTTTACGGAGGAGAAAAGATTGCCGACACTTTGAATGAAATTGGGTTCGATGCCATGACTCTGGGCAACCACGAATTTGACCGCGGCGACGACTATCTCGGCGAGTTTCTCGAGAACCTCACCTTCCCCATCGTCAGCGCCAATATTGTGACCGATAACAAGGTTCTCAACCGCACTATCAAACCCTTCCACATTTTCCCGGAGTATGAGCTCGCCATCATTGGTGTCACGACCGACACCACGCCCAGCATTTCGTCGCCCGGGAAGAACACTATCTTCAACGACCCGATTGTGGCGGTACAAAACACTGTCGATTTGATTCGCGCCACCACTAACATCACCCGCATCGCGGCCATTACGCATATCGGGTATGATGTAGACCAACGTCTTGCGAAGGAGACGAGCGGGCTGTACTTCATCATGGGCGGGCACAGCCACACTCCGTTGGGCGATTTCGAGGGCGCCGCTGGCCCTTACCCGACCATCGTGGAGAACAAGGATGGAGATGAGGTGTTCATCGTCACCGCCTACCGCTGGGGCGAGTACTTTGGCTACATTGATGTGACGTATGACGCCCAGGGGAAGGTTTTGGCGTACCATGGCGCGCCAATCCACCTTACCAACGCCACAGCCCAGGACGAGGGCCTTCAAAAGGAGATTGACGAGTGGCGAGTTCCTTTTGAGGAGTATTCCAAGCAGGAGGTTGGGTACTCGAACGTCGTCCTTGACCAGACCACTTGCCAACAAAAGGAGTGTTTGCTGGGCGATTTTGTGTCGGAGTAAGTACCGATCCGCACGCTGAGGTCAAGGGATCCGTATTCTTGGCCTCATTACTTTGGGTATAAAATGCTAACCCACCCAGCGCTATTCTTCAATACCGCCTCAACTCCACCACCCCTGAGACTGCTCCTGACTTTACTCTGATCAATGCTGGCGGCGTCCGCGCTACCATCGATGAAGGCCCCATCACGCGCGGTGAGGTCTTGACCTCGTTTCCATTCAGCAACGCCGTGGTAGACGTCACCATCTCTGGCGACAAATTGTGGAATGCTCTCGAAGGCGTCGTCGCGGGCGTCAATGTGGACAACGGCAAGCCGGTAACTTCGTTTTTGCAGGTGTCTCGCGGTATCAAGATTGAGTACGGCCCTGATTCAAAGAGCCAATCCGGTAAAGTATTGGTCTCTGTAACTATTGGTGGCAAGCCGCTCGACAAGGCTGCGGATTACAAGATTGCAACGATGGACTTTGTGGCTGGTGGAGGAGACAACATTTTCGCGCCTTTTGAGGACTTGGTGATTCTCGACACCGTCGATGAAGTCTTGGTTGCGCATATCGGTGCCAACACACCCGTCGATATTGCGTTGGATGGGCGCTTGTCGGAAGTAAACAAGTGCAAGGCCGGAAAGGCTATTGCTCGGAGGGCGAGGACGAGGAAGATGGAAAAGGTCTCATTGTGAACCGCAAATGCGGGGTGACGCGTGAGTAATATAGTGAAGATTGTACCAAGATACATGAAGTAATCGGAGGTAATCACGAACATATCTCTTGATATTTTGGGATATGAAATGGTTGCAGATTGACTAGTCAAGTCCGTTATTGCTCCAGATGCTCCACCGTTTCGCCCGACACTCTCTTCTCGCCCTCCTGTGCAAATGGATCGACTTTTGTCGTTGCGAATTTCCTCGCTGACACCCGCCGCTCGAAAAGGAGATCCAGTTCGGCGTAGGTCCTACCTTTCGGTTCTGGAAGCCTGAAATACACCCATATAGCTGACAGTAGGCAAGAACCGGCCCAAAAGAAAGCCGTGCGTGCGCCCCAGTTCCAAGCTGTCGAGCTCAGTTGATAGTTGGTCATGACGTTGACGAAGATGTTGCTGGCGTTGTATGCTGCGCGGGCTAAAACAATGGTCTTTGCCTTGAGACGTGTCGACGACAACTCCGACACGAGGGAATATGTGACGGGGCCGACGGTAAAGTCGTACACGAACGTGAAGACGATGAGCATCGCGCCGATGGCCCACACGGATGCCTTGGTTTGACCAAACGAAAGGCAGCCAACAATAATGAGAAGTGTGAGCTGAGCACACAACCCACCGAAATGGATCTTCCTGCGGCCAACGCGCGACATGAGAATCCACGAGCCGGCCGTGCCGACCATGCCAAGAGCATATTGACACAAGGATAAGGTAAAAGAATTGCTTGGGTCCATCCCTGCTTGGGTACTATTATTGCGGGTCAGTAATCGTTTGTGTGTTGTCACAGGAGATTGACTATTAATTACTCACAGGAAATAGGCGAAATATCCCATCAGATTTTGACCCCCTAGTGTCTGGACGAGCCAGATGCCGACAACGATTTCAGTTCGACGGAGGTCCACGCCTTGGAAGCAGTCCCGAAAACCAACGCCGTCCTTCAAATTCTTTTCAAGTTCGTTGGTGTGTTCAATCATGGCAATGGTCTCGTCAACATCGAAACCTGGTTGATTTCGGGAGGTCAAACGCAGGAGAGATTTCTTGGCCTCCTCCTTCCTACCGTGTCTCACATACCACCAAGGCGACCTTATATCAGTCGTCGGTTATCAGTACTTGCTATTACCCGGAGGAAGAAGTATTTAGTATGGACAGAGCATGAACTTACTCGGGGGCAAAGATGAGACCAGCAAGAATGGGTACCGGCCACACCCACTGTACAGCGAAAGGGATCTTGTACGCGAAGTCATCGGTGCGGGTGACGGATCCTTTGTTGACAGCGACGGCGAAGAACTGGCCAATGACCCAGCACATATTGATGAACGTGGTGAGGTAAGGCCGGAGAACCATGGGAGCTACCTCGGACGCATATGCTGCCGTGACACTTTGAAATGCTCCCCACGGGATCCCTTCAATGAGTCAGCGTTGCCACTGGGTAACAACCAGACCACCGGGACCGATGGGTCGAACTCACCGCATAATATCTCTCCAACAACAAGCACCTGGACATTGGGGGCGAAGAAAAGGACAAAGATGAAACCAATCATCAGAATTAAAGACCCTATTGTGGTCATCTTGTAACCAAAACGATCCGACACCCAGCCGGCAAACATAAGTCCAAAGATCTCGCCAGCTCTGGCACCGTTCGAGAGCCCGGATTGCCACGCAGCCGAAACAGCGTACTTGCCAGCAGCCTCGTCGTATTCGCCAAACTTTTTGTTGAACGCTGGGGAAGCATAGAGGTTGCCGAGCAATGCAAGATCATAACCTTCCATGATGATGGTCGATGAGACGAGGACGGACCAACCGATTGCTTTGGGGTAGAGCCGGATTGCCTTCAAGAGTGACATTTCATGCTCTTTCTTGGAGCCATGCTTTGCCTCAAGAGTGATGTCGCGGTCGTGTGAAGCGCCAGCTGCATCTTGATCCCGAGGCCCGCCCTCGACGCGTGTCATGGTGATATCGCCCATGGTTGGTTGGGGTCGATGTTGACTGTGGGTGATGAAAGCCGACGCGACAGGCTGGATGGTAATCACTGATAGACTGGAACCGCCGAGTTGTTGGGCGCGTGGGAAACAGCTGATATTTATCCTGTGATAATCGGGTGGGTGTGTCGCTCATGCTGCGTCTTCGGGCCAGCGTCGGCACTGAAAACAGGGGTGATTTGTGGGGTTCTGTCCGTGTTCCCGACCACCTGACGCGCTGCACTTCGTGCCCGTTCCATGTAATTTTAGGGCGCTGATGCTAGACAACCCCGCCCCCGCGTTAACATGTATTAGTGTACTTGGGTCTGGGGAAAGATAGCTTCAGGTACTTGTCCTCGCCGGGCCGACGGCTTCGTCGTTCTGGACCGCGTCCAAAGTGCCCGAAACGACGGCTGTAAGCGTCGGAGTCAGGGGCGCGGGCAAAAAAAGCTCGACTCGGCTTCTTGGCGTTGATGTCACTGGGAACCAAAGCAGGGATGTCGGGGTTGGGCGGAGTTTCTCTCTACGCTAGTGGATGAACGAAAACCTGGGGTTCTGAGAAAACCCCACAGGCAGGAACGGACAGAAGTTGGTGGGAGGCGTTCTACCTTCCTTCCACGTGGGCGTCGTGGAAAGAAAGAGGAACAGGTAAGGTCACCAGTGACGTGCCCATCTCCGCTGCCCCTGTCGATGTTCACCACGGCCACCGCCTCCCTTTTCGTACCCTTGAACGAAGGAGGTCGGATATGGTTCCAGGAGTGCGAAAGTGTGAGCATGTGGCACTAGGACAAGGGTGTCGGAACCATGCCCAGGCACAGAGCCGGAGCCCGATTCACGGCTGTAGGATGCCGACCGAGGGCTCCTGATGAATCCCCTTTTCACGAAACATCAACACGCTGACTGAACACCAGATTCTAACCGGCCCCTCCCATCGCCTTTCCTTCTTTCACCACGAATACCTTCGTAAACCGCGGAGGACCTCTGCTGCCCTGCCCCCCTTTCGCCATGGGATCTAACTTCTTCCATCACCCGGACGGTTGGCTCGGTACGACACCATGGTGGAAGGATGCCGTCTTCTACCAAGTCTATCCGGCTAGCTTCAAGGACTCCAATGGCGACGGATGGGGTGACATTCCGGGGCTCGTCTCGAAAATCGACTACCTGCACCATCTCGGGGTAGACGTCGTCTGGCTGTCCCCGATGTTCGAGAGCCCTCAGCAGGATATGGGATACGATATCTCAGACTACCAGGCGGTGTACCCACGGTATGGTACACTCGAGGATGTCGACACGCTCATCGAGGCTTGCCATAGCCGCGGGATGAAACTGATTCTTGACTTGGTGGTGAACCACACGTCCGACCAACATCCCTGGTTCGAGGAGTCCCGCTCTTCCAAGTTGAATCCTAAGCGGGACTGGTACATCTGGAAGCCGCCACGATACGACGATGCTGGACAGCGCAAGCCGCCTACCAACTGGCGTGGCTATTTTGCCGGCTCGACGTGGACGTGGGACGAACGTACACAGGAGTATTACCTGAATCTGTACGGGCCGTTCCAGCCCGATCTCAACTGGGAAAATCCGGACTGCCGGGCAGCGATCTACAAGGAAGCAGCGCGGTTTTGGCTTGATCGTGGCATTGACGGATTCCGCATCGATACCGTCAACAAGTACTCAAAACGCACCGATTTCATAGATGCGCCGGTCACCTGCCCAGGCGCCCAACATCAACCGGCGCCCGAGATGTGGTGCAACGGCCCGCGCATCCACGAATTCATCCACGAGATGCAGACACAGGCTCTCGCCCCCTACGGCGCTGTCTCGGTGGGGGAACTGTCTAACACACCTCACCCAAAACAAGTCCTGCCGTACGTCTCGGCAGCATCGCAAGAGCTCGACATGGTATTTGAGTTTAGCATGATCCGCCTAGGCACCGGCAACCTGTTCCACGGCAAGTACAACTACCAGCCGTTTCCGCTGTCGGTGCTTAAACAGCATGTGGCGACCTGGCAGACATTCATCGAGGGGACGGATGGGTGGCACACGGTGTTTTGCGAAAATCACGATAATGGCCGAGCTGTGTCGCGGTTCGGAGATGACAGCACGCCAGAGCTGTGGGAAGCCAGCGCCAAGGCCATCGCGCTGTGGCAGGTGACGTTAACCGGGACCATCTTCTTGTATCAGGGGCAGGAGATTGGCATGAGAAACATGCCGGCGAGTTGGGGCATTGAGGAGTACAAGGATGTCGAGAGCCTTGGATTTTACAAGGAAGCCATCAAGGCCGGCGATCAGAAGAAGGTTGACACGATCCTCCACGGGCTCCGGATATTGGCGAGAGACCACTCCAGGATACCGTTCCAATGGGACGCCAGTCCCCACGCAGGTTTCACGGACGCCGGTGCTGAACCTTGGATGAGAGTACATGACGAGTACCCCAGCCTGAACGCGGCGAAACAACTGGCAGATCCCGAGTCCGTCTTGGGATTTTATAGGGCAGCGTTGAGATTGCGGAAGGAATACCGCGACCTTTTTATTCACGGGACTTTCAAGTTGCTAGCAAGTGAAGATGAGGCGCTCTTCATATATCTGAAAGAAAGCGAGAAGGACACTGGCCGAGGGACTGGTGGAGAGCGGAGAAAAGCCCTTGTCGTGATGAATTTTACGAGCCAGCGACAGCGGTGTCCAGATATCGGCGGGTTGTTGGGTTCAGGTCGAGGTCGGGAGAAATTGATGTTCGGCACAAAGAGGGATAGCCAAACTGCGGTTGGCGGTGGCGAAGAACTGACGCCGTGGGAAGGGAGGGTGTATGTGAACTTTGAGTTTTAAATGTCGTTGACGTTCAGAATAATGGGGGTAGTTTACACTTGCATGCAGAGAGATTGCTTTTTTTTATACCGACCGCCTCCCGCCCGCTCCATCATGGAGACGGAGAAAAAGGTGCCACGCTGTCGCCGACTCATTGCATTCGTGGTTGTGTGAAGACTGGGTCATCGCTGTCCCTGAGTCGGTTCTTGGTTGATCCGATACCTGGTGGGGTGGCCGAAGGGGACCGAGCCACAAAAGCACCCCAAGCTCCAAGCTCTTGAATGGCCCCCAGGCCCGGAGCCCGCTCCCCGCATTTTTACCCCAGATCATGCAAATGTGACCGCGAACCAAGATCCGAGCCGCAGCATCCAACCGACGACCACTCAGAACCCATCGATGGCGAGCCCACTTAGCACCAACGCGTCCACTGCCACAGCTGCTGTCCAACCAAAGGTGAAAAGGACGCAGGTCTCGAGAGCGTGCCTGAGGTGCAAGAGGCTGCAAAAGGGTTGTAGCGAGACAAGGCCATGTCCGCGGTGCAAGAGAGTTGGATTGGAGAATGAATGTCTGGTCGGCGATGGGCATGCACAAGGGCCGCCATCGGTATCGCAGTTGGCCGAGTTGAACTGGTCCTATCCGCAGCTCCCCGCCAGCCTTTCCCCCGAATCCATTATCACGTCGCCGCTGATGACGGTCTCTACGACACTCGGGCCACTACGAGGTCGACCTCCTGCGCTAGTCATCGGGTACTGCATCCGACGCTTCTTCGAGAAGCTGTATCCGACGATCCCCATACTGAACCCGGAATACATCGAGATTCTGATGGCGGAGGACGAGTCCTCGAAAAGCGACGCTGCTGGGTGTCTCCTCATGGCCGTGTGCGCCGTCGTTTTGATACAAGTCGAAGCACCTGATGAACGCGCATTCGAAGCCGACGGAATTCATCATTCTAACCGGAAATTCGGGGAACTTTTGTTCGATCAGGCCACGGCCGCCCACAACCGACTATCGCTCGCATTTGACCCGAGTTTGGAGCGGGTGCTCGCGACTTTCTTCATCTACGCCGGCCACGCGTTTCTTTTCCACCACAGCCAAGGCTTCTACTTCCTCCGTGAAACCGCTACCATGTGGCTCGTACTACGCATCCAAGAAGGCGACAGCTTGAGACGAAAGCTGGCGCACCGGCTGTTCTGGGTGATCTTAGTCTCGGAACGGTCGCATGGGATCCGGTATCGACGGCCCGTCACGCTTCAAGTCACCCCAACGGTGCCTCGCCTCGACGGTCTTGAGTCTCGGTCAGACCCCGCGCTGTGCGGATTGCGCTGTTTGGTGGGACTCTTCCGCCCTCTCGACACCGTATTTTTTTCGCTCCTCAACCAGGAAGACACGGCCCTTGTATCGAAGCCGTTGGCATCATTAGACGCTATCCAGGGAGCCATCCGCAGCGCGCTGGACCCACAACACATTGGGGTCCTTTGCGAGACGCAGATAGCCAACCTCAGGGTCACCCAACTTTGGCTCCTCGTCATCCTGTGGCAACTTCGGCTACGTCTGGGCTTGCTGGTCCAGGACGTTGGGGCCCCGTGTCATTTGACTTTCTACTACCCGGTCGAGATCGGGGAAGAGCTGGGCAGGGTAGTCCGCGGCATCTCGATTGACAGTATCAAGGTGCATGGGGCTGGGATCAACGAAAAGGTTTTTGACGTCGCTTGTGCCATGGTCGACGTGTTGTCTCGGGTGCCGGACTCGGACAAGGATGGGTCGGGGTTGGTGAACATTCGATATTTCCAGCGGCTCATCCACAAGCTTCCGGGCGGTCCGTCCACATACGACGACTTGCTCGTGAAGCACATTGGAAACACCTTGCCGAGCGCGTTAGACGAGGAAACAGGGGAAGGGGAAGAGAATCAACCGAAAGACCCGGGAATGGAGATGTGACGTCCAAATGATATTAATAGAGAGCACCACATGTCGAGCCCGTGAGACCTCACGCGTGGGAACATGTTTAGCGCGAAAATGAAGGGCAGCAAAGCTTCTGGAAATTGGGGCTTGTTTGGATCTTGGTCCCCGCGGCAGCAAAGAAAAGGCGGGGTTAAGGTGGAGCTTCTCCATTGGACCCACAGCCTAGGTAATTTGTCCAGTGCTTCCAGCGGCCACTGCTTCCAGCAAAATTCTAGGCTTCACCGGAAAAGACCAAGAGGTCCAATTGCAAATTGCATTCTTGCTCATTAAAGTCATCACAGCAGGCAATTGCTAAGTACATTTTTATCAGGATCCAGACTACAGCTTCGGTCCCGACGACCCCGTCTTCGGCAGATCGAACCGATCGAGCTCCGTAACCTTGGTCCACGCAGCCACGAAGTCCTTGACAAATTTGTCCTGCCCGCCCGCGCTGGCGTACACCTCGGCAATGGCGCGCAACTCGGCGTGCGAGCCAAACACGAGATCCGCCCGCGTGCCCGTCCACTTCTTCGCGCCCGTCTTGCGATCGGTGCCCTCGAACACCTCACCATCGACCGACTTCCACACCGTGCCAATGTCAAGCAGGTTGACAAAGAAGTCGTTCGTCAGCTTCCCGGGGCGGTCGGTGAAGACACCGTGAGACGAGCCGTCGTAGTTGGCGCCCAGCACGCGCAGACCACCGACGAGGACCGCAAGCTCAGGCGGCGACAGCGTCAGCAGGTGGGCGCGGTCGACGAGGAACTGCTCGGTTGACACACGCGAAGTGCCCTTGCCGTAGTTGCGGAAGCCGTCCGCGAACGGCTCGAGGTGCCCGAATGACTCGACGTCCGTCTGCTCCTCGGTCGCATCGGCACGGCCGGGGTGGAAGGGCACAGGGATCCCGGCGGCCTTCTCAAGCGCGGCCGCACCGCCCAACACGATCAGGTCAGCAAGAGATACCTGCTTGCCACCTTGGGCGGCGCCGTTGAACTTGGCTTGCACGCCTTCGAGGGCTTTGAGCACCTCGGCCAGCTGCGGCGGGTTGTTGACCTTCCAGTCCTTTTGCGGGGCGAGGCGAATACGGGCACCGTTGGCACCACCACGCTTGTCGCCACCACGGAAGGTCGAGGCCGAGGCCCATGCGGTCGAGATGAGCTTCTCCGGGGTAACACCGGTGGCCAGGATGTCGTTCTTGAGGGCAGCAATGTCCTGGCTGTCGATGAGCGGGTGGTTGACGGCCGGGATGGGATCTTCCCAGATCAACACCTCAGTGGGGATCTCGGGACCGAGCCAACGCGAGCGAGGGCCCATGTCACGGTGCAGCAGCTTGAACCACGCGCGGGCGAAGGCGTCGGCAAACTGGTCGGGGTTCTCAAGGTAGCGGCGCGAGATCTTCTCAAAGCCCGGGTCGAAGCGGAGCGCAAGGTCGGTCGTGAGCATGCGGGGCTTGTGCTTCTTGTTGGGGTCAAAGGCGTCGGGGATGAACTCCTCGGCGTCCTTGGCCACCCACTGGTTGGCGCCCGCAGGGCTCTTGGTGAGCTCCCATTCGTACTTGAAGAGGTACTCGAAGAAGTTGTGGGTCCACTTATTGGGCTGCTTGGTCCAGATGACTTCGAGGCCGCTGGTGATGGTGTCGCCGCCCTTGCCAGAGCCGTGCGCGTTGCTCCAGCCCAATCCCTGCTGCTCGAGGGCAGCCGCCTCGGGCTCCTTCCCGACGTTATCCGCAGAAGCAGCGCCATGTGTCTTGCCAAAGGTGTGGCCACCGGCGATTAGCGCGACGGTCTCCTCGTCGTCCATGGCCATGCGGCCAAATGTGGTGCGGATATCCCGGGCCGCTGCGACGGGGTCGGGGATACCGTCGGGTCCCTCGGGGTTTACGTAGATCAGACCCATGTGGGCGGCCGCCAGAGGAGACTCCAGGTCGCGGGTATGGATGTCGGTGTGGCCCTTGTTGGACTCGTCGGCGTCAATGACGCCCTCGCCCTTCTGGCCCGCGTTGCCCTGCGAGTAGCGGACATCGTTTCCGAGCCAGGTCTGTTCACCGCCCCAGTAGGCAGATTGGTCGGCCTCCCAGGTGTCGGGGCGGCCACCGGCGAAACCAAAGGTCTTGAAGCCCATAGACTCGAGTGCGACGTTGCCGGTGAGCAGAAGCAGGTCAGCCCACGAAATCTTGTCGCCGTACTTTTGCTTTACGGGCCAGAGCAAGCGACGGGCCTTGTCGAGGCTGACATTGTCAGGCCAGCTGTTAAGCGGCGCGAACCGCTGCTGACCTCCGCCACCTCCACCCCGACCGTCGAAGACACGGTAGGTACCGGCGCTGTGCCAGGCCATGCGGATGAAGAGACCGCCGTAGTGGCCAAAGTCGGCCGGCCACCAGTCCTGCGAGTCAGTCATGACAGCCGTGATGTCCTTCTTCAACGCCTCGTAGTCGAGCGACTTGAAAGCAGCGGCATAATCGAAGTCCTTGTTCTCAGGGTTGGAGGCTGGCTGGTTCTGGCGGAGGATGTTGAGTTGTAGCTGGCCGGGCCACCAGTCACGGTTCCTGGTGCCACCGCCAGCGACATTGGCATGGCGTACAGGGCATTCACCCATGGTGTGGATTAACCGTCTGTTAAACACTTGTGGATTTGTGCGGTAGGAGAGAGCGCGACGCCGTATGTGAAGTAGAGAGTTCACACACAGAGACCTGTTCATTTTGTGGAACGGGGAACGGGCGAGAGGGGGGTAAAGGGAGAAAGGGGACTTATAAAGCAAACGGAGGGGCCCGATGGGAATATCGGGAACCATCTGCCACGCAGCGGACCAACCAGGGTCTCCCGTTTTACGGACAACCTGTACCGCCGTCGCGTCGACCCCGCATTCATGAGGGGCAGGATCGCGACATCCATCTCTTACTTCCCGCCCCTCGCGCCATGCCGCGTACTCCGCTCAAAAAGCGTACCTACCTAGGTAGCTTCCTTCTTTGAAATGGAAATAATGTGGTTAGATGGTGTGTCAAGCAGAAAGAAGAGAAAAGACTCGGTATTAAGATATCCGAGCCATGTTCCTGAATCTGATTTCTTTCCGCAGGGCCCGAGTGTCTTGTCTACCATACGCGAGAGCAGCAAGAGTGCTGCCGATCTGCGGACGCGAGGGGCACTTACTCACGGTTACAGTCGGGGTGACCCCAGCGGCAGCCGTTGTGTGAGTTGAATTTGGCACTGGCGGACAACTGGATCCGTAATATATTGCCACTGATTGGTCATTGTCCCCAAGCTCGGCGCTTCGGAGATTCGAAGTGCCCTCGGACGCCAGAGTTCTCTTCGTTTTGCTCGAGCTTTTTTTGTTCGAACTTCTGAGGGGCCAGAGTCCGGTACATTTTCGGGCGGGGCAGCTGAGGGCCGATCCCCGTTGCACGGCGGGCTCCGTCGATCTGGGATTCTGCGGGGACGGGGCCGGGCGGGCACCTTGATGGTAGGCACTCAACACTGTAGGGTCCCAAGGTCCTCACGAAACCCTTGCACGTCGCCCCTCATCATTGAGGATAGCGATGGCGGTATTCAAAGTCCAGCCACAGTTTCGGACGTCGGCGAGCTTCCGTGAGGCGTTTCCTGATTCCTCACGTTGGCCAAAACAAGTGAAGTGAGTGGCTAGAAAAGGGGTTTCCATGGTGGGCCCTGGTCTGGAGTCCGTACAAACGCCATCCGAGCAACCCAGTCACCCACTTTTCAACCACCGTCTGAAGAAGGCCAAGAAACCGGGCCCGTCTGAAAATTCCCGAATATTAATACACTGGAGAAAGAAAATGTCCTTGCCTCACAGTATGATGTCAGTGGGGCGAGTATTTACCAACGAGACTCATGCGCGTAAGCAACAAACGATTCAGCCAACCAACCCGGCCCTAAGGGCAATGTTTCAAGTTACACTCCTCCCATTTCAGTATTAATTAGCATCATGTAACGTAATTAATCGGCGTTATGTTGTTAAAACAGCAGGTTGCAAAATAGTTAGCAAACTTCCGTTATCATTTGTACTTTTAGAGACACAGAGTCACAGTCGATTTGCTGAACCCTTGTTTAATCCATTCAACTTGGGTGTTTTGTGATCTAATGAATTAGTTATCCCGTAAGAATTATTAATCAATAATCACCAGAGCGCGGTCATACGACCTAGTCCAAGCACTCTAAGCTACTCCAAGTTTTGTGCCTCGCACATTTTGCGATACATCCTTCCAAGAGCAACGAGCTCTTCGTGCGTACCCTTTTCCACAATCTTGCCGTTATGGAACACACAAATAACATCGGCATCTTTGATGGTGGACAGCCGATGTGCCACCGCAATCGTGATGCGATCTCCTGCTTTTGCCGCCTCTGCGAGCGCACTCTGGACGATCTTCTCACTCTCGGTATCTAGCGCGCTAGTGGCTTCATCGAGGAGCAAAATCCTGGGGTCTCGGATCAGTGCCCTGGCAATGGCGATGCGCTGGCGCTGGCCGCCGGAGAGCTGCGTGCCGTTCGGGCCGGCTGCGGTTGACAGCCCGTCGGGAAGTGAGGACACAAATTCCCACGCATTAGCTGCACGGAGGGCGGCCTCAATTTGGGAGTCGGGGACAGCTTGGCTAGCCACGGCCTGGGCCGGGTCATCAATGCCAAGGGCGATATTTTCTCGGATCGACCCTTGGAATAGAGTCGGCTCCTGCTGTACGAGCGCAACCATCCGGCGATACAGTCGTGGGTTCAATGTGCTCAGCATGTCGTCGTTGATACGAATGCTACCAGTGGACGGGTCATAAAACCGCTCCAGCAGGGCGATGACGGTAGATTTGCCGCAACCTGAAGCCCCAACCACAGCCGCGAATTGCCCTTTCTTCACCTGTTTGGAGGTTCGTCAGCGGTCAGAGTACCATGCGATGGGTTTGATGTCGCGTATAATTACCTTTAAATCTACCCCTCGTAAAACCATTGCGTCCGGTCGGAGCGGGTAAGAAAACCTCACGTTGTCCAATGCTACCGGACCTCCCGACTTCGGGCCGTTGCTGCGGTTGTCGTCCGTCTCGCGGACGGTCGGCTGCAATTCCGAGAGCCAAAACATGTAGTTGGCTGCATTCTTCCCTTTTGTAATACCTAGAACCTTGTCAGTAAACCGGGCCTCTCCCGTGGAAATTAGGATTAGACGGACTTGTTGAGAACCCAAACATTTGGGCAGTGGCCTGGCCGCAAAAGAACACGCCCATAAACGCAACAAAAAAGTTGTACATGGTAGTCTCGCCAAAGGCCACGAGACGGCATCCGTACCTATGATCCAGGGTTAGCCCTCGCTGAGGTGGCGTGCTTTTTTTTACGGCGAGGAGACCACAAACCAAAATCCGAGGGCCATGAACCAGTACTCGATGGCCTGCGTCAACGCGAAGCAGATCATGATGACGGCGAGTGGCCGAATCGTTCCAGCCACAGCAGAGTCCAGCTCAGCCGTATACCGGGCGAGTACGCGTTCTTCAATCGCGAGAGATGAGACGGTTCGAATGGCGGTGATGGCTTCTGACGCGATCGAAGCGCTCGTTCCACTCTTCTTGGATCCGTTATGATCCATCCGCATGTCCAACCGGATCTTGGCCCAACCGGCCCCGAGCAAGGGAGGCAGACCGCCAAACACGATCACCAACCCCAATTTCCAACTATGGGCGATACCAAGAACGCTGCAGGCTACAACGTTGAGAACAGCAATGATGATAAGACCGACGTTGAACCCCATCAACTCAAAAACGGACTGCGGATTTGAATCGACTCGGCTGGCTAGAGCTCCGGTGTTGTTGTCTGGCCGGTCGAAAAATTGAAGATCTTGCCGTAGGATGTCGTCGAAGGCTTGTTTCCGGAGTTTATGTGAGAGAGTCTACCAAGGCAAGGTAGGTTAGAAGTTTTCCAGGCGGGTAAAATGCGAACCGACGACATACTTGGGCAACAACGTTCACTCCCCAACCGAGGACAAAATAGAAGACCAGGCATCCCGCAGCGAGCACGATAAACATGGAGGCAAAGAAGTTTCCTCTCTCTTTCATTGCATCGCCACTCAGGGTGAAGACATCCATCATACGTGACAGCAGAATGGCTTGACCTGGAAATATCGCGGCTAGAGACGGGAGAGGAACATCAGCCGAAGAACAAAACAACCACGGTAATATGCAGTGCTGCAAGGAAAGTCACTTACCGGCGCCGATACAAGATCCCACGACAGTAGCATACCACCACGCAAGCTCGGGGCTCCACTTCACTAATCGTATGACGACGGCGATTAAACCGAGGTGCCTGTGATGATCAAAGTTGTCCCGTTCCATTTGTTTTTCTAGGCGGGTTTGATCTTCAGTCCCGTACTTAGTAAGTGTTGTGGTCAGTTCGGGATGGTGGCCCTCCCCATCAACCGTGGTGTCTTCATGTTCGCTGTCGGATGATTCGCGGACGGCGTTGACTGCCAGATCTTGGATTCGGACGAGCTTAGCGTAAGCGCCATCCTGGGTGACGAGGCCCTCGTGGGTTCCCTGCTCCACGATACGCCCCTTGGACATGACGACGATGTTGTCCGCTTTTCGGATGGTCGCCAGCTTGTGGGCGATGACGATGGTAGTACGTCCTTCGGCGGCTCTGTCTAGCGCTTGCTGGACAACTCCCTCAGCGTGAGGGTCGAGGGCGCTGGTGGCTTCATCAAGCAGCAGCACCTTGGGCCGTGACACAATACTGCGAGCGATAGCGATACGCTGCTTCTGGCCACCAGACAAAAGGCTGCCACGCTGCCCAATGTCGGTATCGTACCCCTGAGGTAATTCTGATATGAAGTCATGCGCAAATGCCGTCACCGCTGCTTCCTGAATCTGAGCCATTTGCTCGCCCCTGGAAGCATTTTCCCAGGGGGTACCAACTAAGCCGTAGGCGATGTTGTCGAAGACCGAGCCCTGAAATAAGACAGGTTCCTGGAGGGGTTAGAGTTTCACATCATTAATTACGCATACGGGAAGTCACCTACTTGTTGCACCAGTCGGACATTTTTCCGGAGCCAGTTCAAGTTCAGTGCTTCAATCGGTCGGCCATCCAGTTTGATGGACCCAGTTGACGGGGTGTACCATCGCTCGATCAATCCGACAATAGTACTCTTCCCAGAACCACTTTGACCCTGGCTAGAATGTTAGTTCTTCCCAGCTTTCCACAAGCACACTGGTTTCAACACTTACCACCAAAGCGGTGACCTTGCCCACTGGAACGATGAGTGAAAAATCGTCCAACACTGTCGTGCCCGGCCGAGTAGGATAAGAAAACGTGATATTGTTCAACTCGACGAGTCCACTGATGTTAGAAGGCTGTTCTCCATCCGTGTTGAAGGGGTCTATCGCCGATTTCCTGTCGATGAGTTTAAAGAGGGAAGCTGCAGATGCCGCAGCACGAGTGAACTCGATGGAATAAGGGGCAAGCATGGTGATTTGTATCGACCCAATGGCGACAGATAGGAGGACCCTGGAATGGATGAGTCGTGCTGCTGTGGTTATAAAGAGGGAGCATACCAAAAGTCTTGTGAAGGACGAAGCTGTAAACTCACGTGAAAATTTGCCCTGATGTCTCAATATCTCCCCTCGCGAGAAGTTGTACCCCTTGCCAAAAGGCGAGTCCAAACCCAAGGTAAATAATGGTGTACTCGATGGAGAAGAGAGCGCCCAGGAGCGGGGAGATCTTGTCTCCCCAGTGATGTGCTTCCACGAGGTAACTGTCGAACTTTGCGACGAGCTTGGATCGCATCTCAAATGCATGAACAGTACGCGCGCTCGCTAAGACACCCTCAGCGAAAGAGTTGGCTTGGGCGTAAGTGTCGAGGATTTTGGTCTCGTACCCAGCTTCGATCGCAGCAACGACACCCATGGTGATGATGGTTGCCGGGGCAACGCATAGCGTAATAAGGGTGAGTTTCCAATGTGTAGCGAAGGCGACAACGAAGGCAGTGATGAAGGCGGAAAGACCTTGGAACGTCAAACCCAGTTTCTCGGAGATGCCGCCTTGGATCAGGCGGCCGTTGGACGTGGCCTGAGTTGCAATAGACCCGCCGGTGCCAACATCAAAGAAAGCCACCTCCTGACCAAGAGCAGCCTTGAGATAAGCGTGGCGGATGTTCCGGACAATCTTGTGGCCAGCATATGTCAGGAGGGTGTTGTAAATGTATGATAGGACGAAGCGGCCAATCCCAAGATACACGAAATAGAGACTGTCCGTTCCGACGGCAAGTGTCAGCTCAGCGTTCGAGTTGTAGGAATGCGCGGGAACACGGCTTGTCGGGGCATACGCTAGATTTGCAACGTCGGCAAGGAAAACGTCATTCGACGATCTTTCGGAGGCGTAGTCTGTGATCACGGTGATAAAGGCGCCGAATATCAAATTTTGCAGCGCAATACCGGCGCCTGACGCGATAGCTGCGAGTACAGCGACGGCTTGGATAACGTATACGAAGGTCCCAGCATAACGGAAAATGCGCTGTGGTATAGACGGCGTCAGTGTTGCAATTTCTCTGCTTGGGCTGTTGGTGGCTAACCAGATACGCAGTCCACGCGTCATCCTCCCCCTTTCGCTCCTTCGTCGCTTGTGTAGCGGCAAGTGTGGTTGAGTAGTCATCTGGTTCGGCTTCGTCTTTAACCACGTCAATGCTGACACGAGCAGTCATGGTCAAGCAGTTACGGGCGCCAAGGCACCGGGATCGAGCAAAACAAACAAAACGGACCAGGCCAGCTGAAGAGTAACAGTCAGACCAAGCGTCGAAAATAATGGATGGTTGTGATTCTTCTTAAAGCTACGCGAAACCACAGATCCAAATTCACGGTAGCCAGCCCGCTTGGCGCCAAGTTGGGCTGGCAAGGCGAATGACCCGGCTCCGGAACCGAGTGCGGCTCGGCGACACTCGACGGCGCTGTTCGGAGCACCGAGACACCGGGATCGTTGATTTCGCGTCGATCGTGCATACCCCCAAGACTAGCCAAGCACCGCGTTAGGCTGCCCGATGCAAGTGAGTCATATTCCGAAATCAGGGATCTGATAAAGGAGCAGGACTAATTGGCCCGCTTGGTGGGGAGAAATCAATTCTTCATGGTGAGGCCGCAGTGCCTGTTGGAAACTGGAAATTGCTCAAACGTAAAATCAGTTGACATTGTGATGTGATACCCGGGATGGAGTCCGTTCCACGCAATTGTGGTCCGAGCGTTGCTTCAATTTTAACGTCCGTCGGATTCCGCGCGTTCCGCGCTTTCCGTTTTCCTCGAAGGCCACCTCCAAACAGTTTTGGGCGAGAATTCGGCCACCGACAGGACGCGCATTGAGTGCACAGGAATCTTCAGCGCTGGTTCGTGACCATGAATGGTGGAGAGGACTTGGTGGACGAAGCCGAGTCGCCGCCGCCGAACGCCTCAGCAGCCGTTGGTTCACAGACCCCAGTGCCTAGAGCCGCAAGTCACTCTCCATGTCTATTCGCACCATTAGTTAAGTGGTATTGTCCTGCTTAAAACTAGCACTAACTCATCGTTGTGTTGCAGTGCGACGCCTGCCGGGCCCGAAAAGTAGGATTGAGTTTCACCGTCACCCTGTCACTTACATCTTGGAGGCGCGCCTTTGACCACCCTTTTCCAGATTCGCTGCAACCGAGAGTCGCCTTGTGCACATTGCCTACATGCCAAAATACAGTGCACCCACTCTGGGAAAAAGCCACAAGAGAAGCGGAGCCGTATTCTCTTGACAAATCAATAGTACGCTCTGTAACTTGTTGCAATCGCGTGTTGCGTCAAAGGAATCTGAACAACTCATGGTGTTCCCTAATATAGTGAACAGAAGATCGATCTCATAGATCGCCGCCTTGACGGGGTTGTCCGCCTCCTCGAGGAACTAAAGTCACAACGCGCACCGCCTTTGGGAATTGCGGGATCAACTGCCGTTCCTTCTCCAAGACCGCCGGGTCCCAACAGTCCCCCTGTCTCGTTCAGCCCCGCCAGCCACGGCAGCCGTGTTCATCATGTGGAAGCAACCGGCTCAATGGTTGAGGGCGAATCTTCTCTCACGGCCCATTCCGTCTTCGCTAACGACCTGGTTCACCGTGTCATGAGTGGAGGGACCTCGATACCAGAAATGCATGAAAGAATCGAGACGCTCCGGAACATGGTCGAAGCCATGAAAAAGCAGCCGGCTGCTCATGAGATGACCTACCCCCATGCGAAGCCGACCCATTTCGGTTCTCCGAAAGGTTGTGACTTGCCTCCAATCGCCAAGACTCTGGAACTTCTCAAACTAACCCGGGCCAATCCGCAACTGGGCATCGCCTGGGTGTTTGAGTTGTTTGAGATGGAACACTTTCCTGAGACCTGTCTCGCGTTGTACATGGCGGAAGAGTACAACGCGGCTCAATTCATCACGGTTAACGTCGGGTTGCATATCCTGTTCTCCGGATATAGCTATCTCCACCGGGAGAAAGAGCAAGAGTACCTTGATCTTGCTCTTATCTGCGCGGTCAACGTTGAGACAGCCCTTCTCAGCCTCCCTTTACATCTCCCCGCCAACGACGATGTGATTGTGGCTCTTTCCTTTGGCGTACGGTTTTTCCAGTAAGGTCTCCCCTGTTTTCCGCAGTCGACTGACACCCAGTGCAGGTCTTCTATGCGGTCGAGCTAGGCAAGCCGGCGTTGGCCTGGGTGCTGGCTTCCAAGGCCTCTGAATTGTGCCAGTCCCTTGGATATCACCGAATTGGTACTTTCGCGTCCGATTCTGTTAGCAGCGCAGCGCGTAAACGATTCCTTTTTTGGGTTGTATACACACTTGACAAAAGCCTGTCGCTACGTTTAGGGCGGTCTTCTACCATCCACGAGTCCGATGTCACCGTTCCTGATCCATTAAGTGACGGTCCTAGCCACTCCCCAATTTCCGCGTTCTTTGGACTGTGGGTCGTTGCGTCTCGGATCCAAGGCCAGATTTACGAGTTGCTTTACTGCCCACAAGCCGTTGCACAACCCGAAGCGGTAAGAATGGCTCGGGTACAACTCTTACTAGGGCAGCTCGATAAGCTTGATGCCCTTACGGATGAAACATCAGTGAGCAATAATCAGGAAGATGCTGTCTTTTGATGAGCAATCCAAGACGACTAACAGCGAAATCTAGGCTAAGTGGGAGAGTGTCTTGCAGCAGGCAAGCCCTTGCGAGACGACTGAGTTTTTCATTCTGTCAGATGAAATCGTCCGACTGTCGACACGTACACTTATTCACAGGGCTGTGCCAAACCCTCCTGGGTCCCCAACAACCTTCACCGAAGACTGTATCCTAGTTGCTAGGGAGACACTAGCGAAACATCAGCGCTGCATCGCTTTGGTAGAGAGCACCGCTGAACGTTTGTTCTCCACTTACATGAATTGGTGGGTGTCTATGATGTCTCACGACACTGTGGGAGCCGTGACTGACTTCAGATCAGGACAATTCTATTTGCCCCGTTCGCCCCGTTCATTGTCATTTTCTGTCAAGTTATCGAGACTAGGGACAAATCCGACCTGGCTCGTTTGGAAGCCTTTGTCAACTCGCTTCTCCCGCACATTTCCGCGTCGGAAGCTGTGGAAAAACTCCGCCGCTTGTTCCAAGCGCTGTACAGCGTTGCGTCGCAGTATGTTGAATCCCAAACCGGGGCGCCCGGAGTTCAACATCAAGCCAGTACAGTGGACACTTGCCTGGTTGCTCTGGGGTTCCCGGCACAGCCCAACCTAGGATTACAAGAAGCGCCGTCCGTCCCCGCCGGGGAGGAATCCGCCAGCGAGGCGGCGTTTCAGCGAGGTGTCAACCCCATGATATGGATGGGAACCGGTACCGATCTAGAAGATTGGTTTTACAGCAACCAGGAGATGCTGAGCTTTCTGGGGGATGACGTTTCGTAGAAATTATTCCACGTTAGTGAACCCCCGATCGCTGAATTCCTAGAGCACCCAGTGCCGTGCCAGACTTCGGGTTCACAATCATGCTCCCTCCCCTCATTGTGCTGAGCCGCACGAGTCAGACCCAAAATGTCGTTCCTTTCGTTTTCTTTAGGTTGCCTTTCGAAGTGGTCGCTGGACAACGCGAATGGCTAGCAGACCATCACAGCCGGCCGACAACAATCTGAGCCTTTGCTCTTGAATAGTCGACAGCAGGGACGTTGAAAATTGCCAACCATCAACGTCCTTCCTTGATCTATTCCCGGCTTCCAATCTCCGAAATACCGCGGGGGGCCTCGTGGCTTGGCATGGACCGCGGAATGCGCTGTGGGGCGGCAGGTAAAGTTTATTTTCGGGGAACCGTTGCAGTCTCGATCCTCTTTGGGGCTGAGTGCAACACCACGGTGCACGATCCTGGTTCTCCGCCCCAAACTTCTGTCGATCACTTCCACGCCGTCTCGCAATACGAGATCTGACAATATGTTGGAAGGAAGTCAACGTCGATTTCACCCCCGATACGAAAGTAACGTGCCATTCTCACCAAGGCGTTAGCCATAGCCTGAATCCATTGTGTCCGACATTCCTCCCAAACGCCCCCAACGATCCGTTGTCTTGAGAAGGAACCGTTGCCGAGCGGTCAACACGAGCTCTCCCGAGCCCGATGGACCCGATCCAAATCAACGTCATGACGTGTTAGCCGGGGCTGGGTAGTCTTGGATTCTTTATAAGAGGTAGGAATGGCTCTCTTCGAAACTGGTAAAGATTGCAGATTGCACCATCCCCCACGAGTCTCGCAACTTCTTTCACCAACAGCTCAATCAAATTACATCAACAATCCACCAACAATCCAACATGTACTTCAACGCAGCTCTCCTCGGCCTCGTTGCCGCCGCTAGCAGTGTTGCCGCTGCCCCCTCCGCCAAGTCTCGGCCCAACACTGTTTCCGCCATGGCTGACGTCCCTGCCTGGATCATCACCTCATTCACCCGCACCTGCAACGAGGGTGACACAACCTGCGACGTCACCTTCGGCATCGACACCCAAACCGCGCCGGCGACCGACTGCGCCTACACTGTCATCGGCTCCCCAGCCAGCCAAACTGCCACCAACGGGATTGTTTGCGGTCCGTACACCATCAGCTCCAGCTGGAGCGGTCAGTTCGGCCCCGAAAATGGCTTCACCACTTGGTCTGTCATCGACTGGGACAACCGCCTCATCGCCTGGCCCGCGTACAACGACCAGGAGCTTGTCAATGCCACTGCCGTCACACCAGACAAGAGCTTCACTCCCCAGACCCTCGCTTGAGGCGTTATACCGATTGTTGAATGAAATTGGCACTGGTATCACGATCTGAACCAGGCCGCTGCTGATCGGGGTGCAATCGGAGGATATTGAGAAGGTAGTGGAACAGAATAGCTATTAATATTAATAATTACTTTTGTAACTTGTCGTTTCGCCGCGCATGATGTGAGAAAATGTAATATTGGCCAAGCAACCAGAAGTACCTAGGCGATAACCCTCTTTCGCTTCACGCTAGCGGAAGCACAGAATTGCTTGAGAGGAGGGACCGGGTTGTCGCAGGTCCAATGTAATTAATTACCAGTTGATTTCCCCCTACTCGAACCAAACACTCGATCTCAGTCCGATGTGACAGGCGTCCAGAATATACTCGACGCTACCCACACGCCAGGGGTGCCAGATTATTTCTCTCCGTTCAGATATCGCCATGAGTAATGGATTAGCCAGAGTTCAAGCGCCAAGAATGGCTATTTATGTTACAACGGTGATCTCAAGATCAATAACAAGTATCAACCAAACCGGACGTCTCATTGATTGTATTCGAACTGTATGGCGACGAAGGAGAAAAAAAGGATAAAATCAGCCCCTCAAGGGAGACGTGCAGAACCCGTCATGGAAACCCGATATCCTGGCTGGAAAGAATTGCACTTTTCGCAACCTAAGAAATATATTAAGTGTAAGAATAACTACCTACACTCGAATTGTTGTCCTTGTTTCGTAATCGATAGCTTATGAATTAATCACAGCCCCCCCAACAGATAGATATTCAAGAATTTCCTTTTCCATCTTTACCCCCAATTAATCGGGTAAATAATTAGGTACTTCGTCAGTTGCCCCAACCCCTTAATAGTCCAACAACCAACCTATCACTTTCCGTGGTCTACCATGATTAATCATTGGAGCCCAACGGGGAATGAGTAAGAACGGTCGCATTGTGCTGACATTGTCCCCCCACCGTTATTCAGCTTTTTCAATAGTGTCTCGCTGCAGGCGATGCTAATGCTGACATTATTAATTTGGCTGCATGAAATGCATTCAACGACGGGATCTGAGTATCTTGATTAGTCGTGATACCTTGGCAATGGACGAAGAAACCGGTCCCGAAAGAGGATATAAAAGAATTGTTCAGGCTGTTGGAGCAAAGGCAACTTGGAGAGGGACTCGGGAGTCTAGCTCATTGACCGCTATCAATTGGATTATCGCCTCTGCTCCAACATGCAACTCACAACTCTCGTAGCCTTTGCCATACTCGCGGCGTCCGCGGCTGCGGGGATCGTGAAGCGAAGCGGCGAGGGCGTCCACCTCGCCAATTGCTACCAACAGTCACCTTTGGGCCAGATACCATTCTCCCAAATGCTCTACTATGCCGATGACGCCGAAGCTAGTCAAAATGTAAAGCCCTCTAACTCAAACCAGTGCCGCGTCACAAACCCAGGAGGGGGCGGTTGGAAGCAGTGGGAGGGGAGCTCGATTACTTGCACTTTCCCGTCCAACACTTACTTCACGTCGAGCATTCAGAGTGGTGCCAGCTCCTACAGCGTGGGTGCATACGCCGGGTAAGAGCTTTTCAGTAATTCGTGGAGTTATTAACCCTATGCTGACGCGAGGTAATAATGGCGAGACAGGTCCGGCCGTAACAATTACCATAATTTCAACTGTTACCGCGATAACAACCACCAACTTTTTAACGATGGCACGTATTCTTGCTGGAGTGTCTACTATTGTCTCGATGTAAGTATCCCCTGTAATTTGGAACGAGCGAATACTGATGGTACCGAACAGGCTTGAGAGAGAATGTGCTATGCCTTGGTCGGACATGGTGGTGCCGTCGTGGCATTTTCGGGCTTTCGGCATGTGGGTCAGGCTGATTCCAAATGATGTTTCCCAATCTTGGCATTGAGGGTGGTAAAGCCCATTAACTCCGGCAATGGGTGGTGGAGTTGTCGGATTTTCGGGTTTATGATTGAGCCCATACATATTCGTCTTTCTAGTTCACTGTCTATAAGTAGTTGTTAACTTGCCGTTGCTCATCCTTAACATCTCGCTCGCTCATCCCCCCCTCACAGACGCCACCGTCACCAATACCCTTACAATCTCAATTCTTACATCTTGTACGCGCCTCACACGCCGGGGTTGTTTTTTTAATATGAGCTCCCAGTCAACGCGAACATATAATTTACCGACGTCAGGAGTCTGGTTTAGTACGAGACAGCCCCGAACTTTGGACCGACTTTGCAAAAACTAATCAATGTTCCGCTTTCAGTTACTGGCTGCTCCTCAGGCCTTGGAAAACAGCTCGCGCAGACCGCCCGAGCAAAGGGTCACCGTGTCGCGGTTACAGCACGCAAACCCGAAGATCTTGACTACTTCTCAGACGATGACTCGAACGTACTGAAGCTTTTGGTTGATGTTACGTCGAAAAGTTCCATCGATGACGCCGTTGAGCTTTCACTTTCCCGATTTGGCCGACTGGACGTCGTGGTGAACAACGCCGGGTATTCTTTGCGCGGAGATACGGAGAATGCGAGTGAACAGGCCGCTCGCCATCTGGTCGACACCATGTTTTGGGGCACCGCTCACTTGACGCGGCATGCAATGCGCATCATGCGTGAGGAAAATCCAAAGAATGGGCCTCAAGGTGGCGTTGTGCTCAATGTTTCCTCCATGGGGGGTCGTGTTGCGTTTGCTGGGAACGCTTTCTATCACGCCGCAAAGTTCGCCATTGAAGGATTTACGGAGTCCGTCTCCAAGGAGGTCCGGCCAGACTGGAACATCCACTTTTCTTTGATCGAGCCGGGCGGCGTCAAAACGGATTATGCAACGCGCAGCATGATCAACATCTCACCCCATCCAGCGTACGCAGCCCCTGACACGCCAGCGAGGATTCTGGAGCAGTATATGAATGATCCAAACGCGTTGAAGAACTGGGCGGATGCAGATGCCGTGGCCAATGCGATGTACTCAATTGTGGCATCGGGAAATGAAATTCCGTTGCGCATTCCGCTTGGACCGGACGCATGGGGCATGTTAAAGGTTGAGAATGAGAGGAATGGGCAGCAGTTGGAACAGTATAAGGAGCTATCGATGGGAGTTGGAAACGCTGGGCAATTCCAGGCCATCGGATTTCTCCACAATCAGAAGTAGTACGATGGATAAGAAAAATGCCAACATGCAAGTCATGTAAATAAACACTCAAGTCGCCTACCTCCTGAAACGTATCAACGGACACCATGACCACATATTAATTGATGCCTACACAACTCTACCAGCCCCTGAATCACGAATACTAATGACTTCAAGTCCGCCAATGTCGTTGTAACAAGTCCCCAAAGTTTTAACCCGGTATGTACCCGTTCAAAATGCTTTATTTCGACGAAGATTTGTTTCATGCGCTGACAAAAACATCCTCACTCATGCACTACAGCAAAGCTTAGCGTTTGAGTTGTTGCCAGTAAGACTGGATCCGCCGCACGGGAAGGAAACGACAACATGGTCGGATAACATCATGTAGAGGGAGGCTGGAAGATGATGCTGAGCCACGAGTTGGGGACTTTTCAGTTTGATGCATACTTAGGTGGTGGCCCTGGACAGGGTGATTAGCCGGCTTATCTCGATTATATATTGACGCTTTGCCTTGACGCGAGTCTCTCGTCATATGTCCCCCAACGCTTCTTTCTTATCTGATTCGTGAGATTCAACTGTCAGTTTCTTGAGGCGTTGGCACCGCGTTGGCACCGAAGCGAGGTGATTGCCCACCAAGGTTCATGGACGTTGGGGCTTACGCAAGAGAATTCGGACTGTCGGTGGATCTTGCCTGCACTAACGGCGGTCTGTGAATGACCCCTGGTGGCACTAGGAGTGGAGGACGTACTCCGCTCGCAGTTTGGAGATGTGCATTTTGGACACTGACATAACCCCAAGGCCCTAAAAGCTGTGGCAATTACCGTATACTCGGATGGTTAAGTCCCTGGTCATGGCTGCACTGCTTTCGGTAACTGACTGTAGTTTACGTAGCCTTTGAACAGAACCCTTGATGTAACGTCCCAAAGTTATAATATAAATGACATGGGCTAGCCCAGATCAACTATATCGGAAAACGTGAGTTAACTAGCTGTTTAGTGATAAAACCACTTTACATTATACCAATTCGCCCAGCCGCTGATTCTTGGCTCAGGCTTGTTACGTGAATCGACAATCGCCTCACAGCCTGGAATGCGTTCCAAGCGGTCCTTGATCTGTTGCTTTTGGCTAGCCAGCCCCCGGGCCCACTTGTCAGTGGGTTTTAATTCCTGTGGTAGGACGTCGCGTCTCCATGCCCAGGGATATGCGGGCTGCACGTAGAGCGCCGCTAGACCATCGTGCTTGAGGAGGGGCTCCAACGGTCGGATGATGTGCATGTAGCCTCTTACAATCTGTACCCCTTCGTCTTTGGTCGTTCCAGCGCGGGCCCCCGCCGGGTTGTACAGGAAGTCAGCGAACGCGACACGGATGGTAAGCGCCGGCGCGTCAATTTTACCACGCAGCCAATCAACCGTATCGCGCCAGTTCACTTGGGCAGGGTGGCCATCAACAGGCCAGCAAGGCGGCTGGTAGGGCGGAAAGACAAGCTCGAGGAAGCGGAGGTGCGCGAGACAGTTGGTGGGGACGAATTCTCGGAGGAACTGCGATACGGCGAGACGCTCGTGAGGGTAGGACTCCTGGATGATGACGGTTTCCGGGTCCTGCTGTTCATGGACGGTATAGTGCATGCTCTGGAATGGCCACGCCTGAACATCATGAATGATGAAACGGTTGCGCGAGAAAAAGACAACCTGGGCATCATGGCAGAAGGTGCGGCAAACGAAGAAGAGGCTCGTTGGGGGAGCCCAGCAGTTGCAGGTAAAGGAAAAGGCAGCATGTCGGCGACGGCAAAAGCAGCCTGGGCCTCGTGGTTGCACGCCCGATAATTCTGAATCAGGGTCGACGCCAATGCATTGGCTGAGCCGGCAACCGTGATGAATATGAGGCTGACAGGGCGGGCCCCTACCGTCAGGATCACAAGGTGGGCGGCATACTTGGTAGCAGTGGGGGTATCTCCTACACCACGTAACCTCCTTCCATGGGGTTACCAGGTCAGTGTATTCAAGGATGAGAAGTCGCAGCTCGCGTGGAAGGGTTACCAGAGCTGACGGTACCATAGTGGGTGCAAGGCGAAGAGGCGACGGCCTAGGACAGGCCTGTAGGACAGCGCCTTCGGCGATCTGCTGGAGTGCCCGGTCCCATCGTTTGCAAAGTCGCACATGGCAATCTTTGAGGGCCGGAAAGAGGGCGAGCGGGGCAACGGCTAGCTGGCCAGCCTCGAGTGCATACTCGTCCTGGTGGTTGATATCGCAGACTAATGAGAGTTCCAGGCATCCGGGGCGAACGTGGGACGACAAGTGGACAGCAGCGTCATTCCAGTCAGCTAGTAAAGCTTGAGCCGCTAGCTTAGAGGAAGTGAAATCCAGATTTGGCGGAACGGGATCGAGCAGTGGTGGTCGGTGTAAATCCTTGTGGTACTCAGCGCACGAGCTGCGGGTACTATGGGGCACCGGTTCATGCTCAACGTCGTTGCAACAGCAGGGCGGAGGATAGTCCTTAGAGTCGACCGGATAGTGGCACGAGCACTCGTTAAGAATGATTTTAAGGCTCCTCAAGGAGGCGATGGCCGTTGGCGATAGGGCTTTAAGGGGCTGAAGGGAGGCCTTGCCAGCGTGGATAACGAATTGGTTGGTCGAATATAACAGGGCGGCGACTTCCGTGTATAGGCCGTAGCAGCAAAGGAGTAGGCCGGTGAAGTTACGTGTCGGCGGCGGGTTAAAGCCGGATGTACATCCGGGCATCGGCGGCTCGTCAAAGACCGACGTATATCCTGGAGACTCCTTACGCCCATCCAAGTAGTATGTGTTTGGGTGCCCGTCGTGGCGGGCTATACCTACATAAAGGTATATACGATAACGTAGGTGAGGAGGCAACCTTAGTAGCGCTGGTGGCTGGGGCGTCTGGTCCTCGATGCTTCGCACCATTGTCGGGGACTCGGGGGCCGATGCTTGTGGGCCGCTGTAATGGTTGATTCGAAATGGCTGGTGGTTCTTGGCCGGGGACTTTCTTAATTTTGCGCTGGAACAAGTTTTCGCGTTGAACAGCTAATAACAATAATTAAAACACAAAGTGAATGAACCACTGGGTTTTAAATTATTGCTTACATAGTACCAAGGTAAGGTGGGTGGATCGGAAATCTGAAAGTGCGGAGGCGGCTGGCTGCAAAGCTCAGTCAGTCCCTCATCTGATCCATCAGCTGCGAATCAATCCAACAGGGTGGCCCTTTGAGGCACGCAGTGAGGGGCAGGGGCCTTCGACACCAGACCAGACGACAGAGGCTGACACTCGCAACATTGGATGCAGAGAAACCCACTTGGCACATCAATTGGAATCGAAGCTATCGACACCCAGCCCTGCACTAACGTTACCACTCAGCGAGGGTTAGGGTTAGGATGCTGGAAAAGATGGCGGGGAGCACTTTGCAGAAGTGAGGGCTGAAAAGAAAACAGAAATACCAACACGGACTTCCTTGTAGAGAGACTCGTATTTCGCTATTTCAATCAGCTCTTCAGGGCAGACTTAGTATGTTCGTCACTATACCTTTTAACCTTTCGCTGCAGGTACAGTACCTAGCACAGAGGGGAGGGAACTCCAGTTTACCCTTCTGGCCCGGGACGGATGGCATGAAGAAATGCGCTATGAGTGTCGTCGTACAGCTTTAGCATAGGTGCTAGCGTGCCGCCACACGTCAAATGGGGTCCCGGATTCAGGTTCGGAGTATCTGGTAAAGTCTTGATCCAGACGGCCCCATGGCTATTGAGGACTTGGAGGGCAGATTCACCCAAGGAGGGGTGCTGATCGTCAGCAGAGACAAAGAGAACCGCTCTCAGAAAGGTATAGTTGAAGACATCGTCGGAGTCAAGATTGGCAAGGGCATCCTGCACCCATTCCGCTGTGATAAGTGTAGTGCTGTCTGTCAGGGCGCACAGGGCACCAGGGTTAGGGTTGACTGTAGGCGGGGAGAGATGGGGCTGGAAGCTAAGGATGCAGCGGCAAACGCCCTATCTTCAGGAAGAAGGGCTCGAAGGCCATATAAGGAAGAGCGGGGAGACCGAGCGGGGAAATCGCAGTAAGAACGGGGGAATATTCTGGCCGATCTAGAGATGGGATAAGAGGGTTTTGAAGGAACCCCGAGAGTCGTTTTAGGGGTTCAGAGTTCAATTCCAATCTTGTATTGACCTCAAGCAATCCACTGCTACCGTTCCATCTGCGAATTCCGTGTGAGATCGCTGCGACCACACCCGTGCACCTCCCTTCACTCTTGTGTACCAACCCCTCGGGTCTCACGGCCTGACAGTCGTATAGAGTTGTAACTAGTACGTTGTAGAGCTTAGCCGCGGCTCGGAGACTCAACTCTCCGTCATTTCGAATAGCTTCAAGGGCTAAGATTATCCTCGCTTCCTTTGAAGGAGGAGGTATATTAGGTTGTGGAAAAAATTGATGTTAGGTGGAAAAAAGACGCGTTGTGCCAAGGAATGTTCGACCCGCTTATATGTTCGGCTCGCTTATATGTTCGGCTCGCTTATAAGGTACGTTAGTTATCCTAATACCTCTTATAGTTAATATACTTATATACCTTTGCTCTATAACCATTCTTAAATTCCCTATAGATGTGACGAATTGTGACGGATCGTCTCGCAACCACACTCTGAAAGGGTTCACTGAAGGTATGACGTAAGGGTTGTGATCCGGTGAAGCCAAAAGGTTCACAACAAGATAGTGATCTGGTCTCAATGTTCACGGCGTAGTGTAAGTGGCAATGAACAAGTTGTATTGCTTACTGGAGAACTCCCAGAGTCCTCCAGATTGTTCCTATTTATCTACCTATGGTCGGAGGGTATCCTGGCGTTCCCGCACGTACCTTGGTCCCTGGATCGAAGGATACCTCCTCGAGCCCGCGATCCCGGACCGCGGCGTCGTGGCCCGATCCAATGATCCGTTTGTGATTGGCCAGCGCAGGATCGTGAGCGTTGCTCCTCGATCCTGCCTTGCCAAGGGTCCCCTTTCCGCTGATTGGCTATTCTCGGCCGTCGTGCCCCACCAGGTCCTGTTGGCGATCATATCCGTGACACGAATCGTCCTTAACCACACTCCGAAAGGATTCACTGAAGGTATAACTTAAGGGTTGTAATTCGGTGAAGCCAAAAGGTTCACAACAAGATAATGATCTGGTCTTAGTGTTCACAGTGTCAAGAAAGTTACAATAAATAAGTTATATTGCTTACTAGAGAACTCCCAGAGCTTCTCCAGAACGAGTGACTATATACTCTCTAGTAGGGAGACGACCTGAAGTACCTTATACCATGATCGTAACGGTCGTACCGCGACTCTCGCGATCCTTGTACTACATCTGGTGGTTGTAGTGATCATTCTAGCGATCCTGCGATCACCTTCTCCAGCGGCTGTTGATTGGCCTGTCAAACGACTGGCCCGTGTGCTGGCCTCGGCACGTCGGCCGTTGTCTCCTTGCATTAGTTCGTCATACTAAGCCTAAGTAGAAATGATATTATTCTAGCGCTATCCACTCCTATCTTAAGGTCTGTTTAAGGCTAATGGTAGACAAGTGCTATACTAGGTCTATGTTTGGAACGAGCAGTTCTCGTTCGCCGTGCGCGTTAGACGTATGAGTAGGCGGCGATCGTGTGGGTTGCCAGAGGTGGCCGTGTCGTTGGGTAGACAGCTCGTTGACCGGGAGCGGGCGATGGGCTGATAAGACTGGTGTTGGATTCAGGGGCCGCTGGTGGGGTGGCGATGGCGGGTATTGGTATTACGCGGGTTGCGAAAGCAAAGACACAGATGGCTTCTTTGACAGCGACGTTGCGGCCAGCAGACAAGGCCGCGTTTAGACGGGTGCTAGCGGCACTAGGGGCAGTCTGGTTGTCCCACGAGGCGACCCCGCAAGGAAACATGCGGTATGAGGTGCGGCTATACGACAGGCGGGCGCAAATGAGAAGGACGTGGTAGCCGCGCTAGCGGAGGAGAAGAAGGCAAAATAAGGGGGAGAAGACGAAGGCAAAGGTGGCAAGTTGATAGTATACTGCGATACGGTCAAGAAGACGGGGCATAATGGCGAGATTGGCAGGTATAAGATATAACGAACGTGAAACCGTGCAGCCAGCTCAAAAGCCGTTTTGAGTCCAAGTTCCTTTGACTATGGTCATTTCAGACAGCCACTGTCGTCCTCAAATCTGTCTCGACTCCCGTCCGACCGACCTCGACGCTTTCCAGCCTCTCCACCTCTGCAAGAGCCAACGCGAGTTTTCCACATATTTCATCAGCATCTTCCAACCCGACACTGATCCGGAGTATGTGCCGGGGCAGCCCGTACTTTTCGCATTTCTCCTGTGTCCAGTAACAAGCCAGCTGGACGTACGGGATGGCGAGGGTGAAGTTGGTCCCGAAGCTGGACCCCTTGCAGACGTCCAAGTTGTCGTAGAAGCATCGGGCAGAATCGGGGTTCCGAAACACCACACTGAGGACGTTCCCATACCCGCCCTCCCGCCGCCGATGTCTCTCGTAAAAGGTGAACGTCGGCCCGCGGGATGGATGCAGAACTTGAGCGATGCAGGGCTGTTGCTGGAGGAACTCAACGACAGCCATGGCGTTTGCGTTGGCCTTGCGCACTCGGCATGCCATGTTCGCTGAGTTTCGCTTGAGCGCAGCCACGTCCGTTGGGAAGCAGCACACGTCTTGGTACTGGATCGCTAGCTGGTTGCGAATTCTGCCATAGTGGCGTGAGTTGGGGTTTATCACCACGCTAATCGGATTCAAGCAAACAGGTCAGCATTTTCCTTGCCCGAGGCGACATTCTAGAAAGAATGGAAGGAAGAAGGGGGTAACAGACCTGCCGCCCGTCACATCTGAAGCACCACTGAACATCTTGGTCAGGCTGGACAAGACGACATCGACGTAAGGTAGAATATCGAGGTTGATGAAGTTCCCCGCTGTTTCGTCGCATGCGACGATAATGTTGTACCTGTCTGCCAACTCTCGGATCCGTGCCAGGTTCGGTGAGATGAACTTGATGTTGCTCGGCAGCTCACAAAAGAGCGCCGTGATCCGATCAGGATGCAACATCAGCAGCGCCTCCAGTTTGTCCAGTTCCTCCTCAGTACCCCACTTGAAGGAAATGACTCTCTCCCAAGCACTCTTCCTTAACACGTTGACTGTTTCCGGGTAAAGCCACCTATGACAGAGTGTACTTCAGTAAGCACACCTCCGATGTTTTGTCCGTAAGTCACAAGGGAGGGGTTGGAGTATCTCTTCTCACCCGTAGGCAACAACTGCCGACTCTGGAGACAGGGCGGCGAGTGCTTCACAAGTATTAAAGATGGCGTTCATACCAGTGGGAAACACCAGCACGTCTTCGGCTCGCACGGGCTTCAGGTCCCTCGCCGACGTTGCCAGCTGCGCGACGCGCGTTTGCACATCCCGCATGTCCCCTGGGCCACCCTGAAATAACCTCGAAGCTGCCAAGTCACGAGGACGTTTTGCTGGAGCTGGAGTCTTGAACGCAGGAGTTGACGAGTCCGAAGCGAGGTAATCGATATGTTCCAAACAGAATTCTGCATGACGAGTCGATATGCCGGCACCAGTGTCCATCCAAACACCCATGGCCTGCTTCTTCAGAGTGGTCGGAAGCATGACCACAGAGAAGGTGAGATAAGGATTGGCCTCCTCGCTCGAGTCCGCGACATCGGGTAAGAAGAATCGGACGTCGTGGAGCTCTGGAACAGGGTCGGGGCTAGACGACTCCAGGCTGGCGACACAATGGCGTGCCCTTCGGGCCGAGGGAAATACGAGGCAAGAGATCTCATCTCCTGAGATCTTCAGTCGCTCCCTGATACGTAGAGTGAGGGATCGGAGTGGAAGGCAGATGAAAAATCTTTTATAGTGGTCTCGGCCGTCAACAGAGGTTCCCCACCATAGCTCCAGTCGTGCATGAGCTCAACTCACCTTGGATAACTGTATTCGACGCTGTCCAGAAGGGCCTTGTTCTTTTCAGACCAGGTAATTACAGAAGCCCAAGTGGGCAGTGACGCGCTGACTGCCTGAAAAGTATTGATTTTGCTGCGCAGGGATTATGAGGTGGAACTGAGGAAGTGAGAACTTACATGGGGCGTAGCTGATGGGTGGATGTGTCCTTGACCGAGTGGCAGAGCGTGCGGTGTGCTGTAAGGTATCCAGTTGATGTCACCAAGGTGCATGGACTCCTCCATGATGGCTGACGGGGGCGTGTTCTGTTGAAGCAGAGACATGAAACGTCTGAGGTTCTTGCTTGGGACATTGGCGAACAGCAAGGAAGTCTCCGGGGATTTATCGTCGTTTGGGATGAGAAACCTCACATAAGTTGAATTACACCTCGGGCGCAACCAACGGCCCCTGAATACCTGATATGACCCCTTGCATTGTTGCAACATCCTCACCGACTCGACATCCCGCTTGACGCGGTTCCTTACGTAAATGAGTTACACTTGGAAAGCTGTTTGTTGATTAAAAGTCCGTCACAGATATGAATCCAGAACAACGTTTGTGGAGATTCACAGAGACTCGGACGGGGCAAACATGCTGATCAGACAACTCATCACCGCAACACTAACCGCGTTGAGTTCCACTTACACGTAGAGGGCCATACACGCACATCGCGATCTGTAAGTCTCACAACGTGGATGTATTCAAGCAAGCAATTGGAGCCATCGCTGGCCTTGCACCAGTCAATGCACACTATTGTCAGACACTTCACGGGCAGTCGTGCGGCTGAATGCGCAATGCGAAGATCTTGGACTGTTTTAGGTTAACTTCACTGGCATATTCAAGCTTTCCATCTCAGATCTCGATCTTGCTCGTGCTGTGCCGCGCAAATCACATAATTCAGTGGCTAGCTGAATGCGAAGGCTTGCGCGCCCATCCGCTCCATCATGGCTAAACATCCCTTCAGCTTCCTTGTCCGCTTCAAAGTCTCAAACCCATTCTACCGCTGACACCCATTGCGTAATCCACGACGCCCATTACGACCCGGTCAACAGAAGCCATGGCACAAGCAGTGGCAAATTATCGATCGTCAGCCAGAGGAGAGACCACAAAGCGCCTCATCGCCCAGCTGGTCAATGAGCGATTGGCGACGCTGACTTTGCTCCATGCCACCGACCGGCCTTGGGCACGCATCACAGGTCCAGGCGACACGTCCCGGTGGATGATTTTGCCCGTCACTGACGGATTCAATTTGTCGAAACCTCTTCGGCCGAATGATTTTGGAACCCCCGTCACCCTCTGTGCAAATGGCTCGGAATCCAAGGAGGATGACCCCGGCTCTATCTTCGCCTTCTGCACTTCATGGTTCCGCTGCAACGAGAAGACAGCATCGTCAATCATTGACGAGCTTCGCAACTCGGCGGTGATGCTAGGTTCGTACAAATCTGCCGTTGTCATTCATGATGGCGCGAATGCTGACAACCACAAGAGAAATGGATGCAGCTTGGGTCTGCTTGGCCTACACTTAACATCAACTCCTCGTTTTTGGACTGGGAGAGATGCCTCGTCACCGGTCATCCGACGCATCCGGTATGTTTTGAAGACGTCCCGTTTCCAACCCTTCTAAGAAGTTGTTGACATTTCTCCAGTTCCACAGGACATGCTTTGCCCATGGCCTTGTGCAGCCTGTCAAACCAGATGACATACCAAACATGTTGAACCCGGCCCTTTCGTTCGTCGCTATCCCGAGATCCTCAGTGCGGCTCTTTGGACCGTTTCAAAAACTCTTGCAGTCTTTGTTGAGCCTCTTCGACATTCCCTCGTCTGATCCTGAGATAGTGGTGCCCTGTCTCTCACAACACCTTCCGGCCCTGCTTCATTTCTTCCCTGAAGCAACCCTGATCAAGACCGTCGCCAATCGAGCGGTAGCCCAGGCCGCTATCCGAACAGTATCTGTGCCTGGGTACTCATACGACCTCAAGCTCTCGCTTGCCTGCTTGATCACTTCTGCCTTACGTGTTCTGCCATGCTGGTCTGCAGCTGCGGCCCCCACCATGACCTCGCTTCTGAAGAAGCTGATTCCGGACAACCTCTGGCTGTGTGGAGAGGTGGCCGCTGTTACCGGTAGCCAAAGCGACGCGAGCGAAGCACGGTACATGACTTGCATTTTGCGGGAGAACCTGGAGTCCAGGGCCAAGGCGAACAATGAGATGCTTGTTTTGGCCGCTGCGTTGATGGAAAGGCCAGGGGGTGGTCGTCGGACTTACGCTGAGATACTCTGGAACCTCAAAACAATAAATGACAGAGCTGTATGGTTCACAAAGTGAGTACTTCATGCAATTTTTTTATTCTCTTGACTGTTGCGAGCTAACGCAGGAGATAGATACGTTCGCACCCTTCTGCAACTTTCCTTGGATCCATTGGCACGGTACGGAATTGGGTTCGAGTTCCATGCGCAGAATTCCCTCGTCCGAGTATGCCGACGCACCAAGGCCATCAAGGGGTTCGCTATCCGTGATCTGGCCGGCGTCAAACTTCACGGCCCGACACTCGAGGCGCAGGGATTCGACCTCACAAACCTGGAAGCCACAGCCACGGCTGATGCCCACGCAGTTTGGAACAGGGTGCACCACGCACTCATTCAGAATCATATCGGGTACATGCTATACAGCCTGGGACTCGAGGGAGACCACGATGGGTGGCAGATTGTCCGCTACGAGCTTGGGCGGGCTCTTACCGGCCATGACGAGTCGGCACAACAGATGGTCTACCGACATTTTACGAAGGAGACAATGCCGTTTAAATCCTTCATCCGAATGAGGATGGAGGCATCGCTTAAGAGCGTAAGTTGTTTTCATAATCGACTAGGCGGGAGATCATTCTGAAATGGACGTTTGACTGATATAATTGATTGATTATCGTAGTCTTTTAGTGTTCTTGACCAAGAGGTGCCCAACGTGCTTTGGAAGAAGGGTCCCTGGCTTCGTCAAGTATCGTTGGGTGCTAGCACGATCCCCGGGATATTTGTTTCGCCCGAGGATGCCGGCCAAGACACCCGGGTCATGGAAGACAAATGTATTCAAGAAGCCCTTGTCCGCAACACTGCTCCATACGGACAGGTTCCCAGGGCCGCCGTGCAACTCAACCCTCACCCCGCGGTCATCCCAATGAAGTTCTTAGAGGACCTCAACCTGTTCCAACAGGCACTAGCAGTTGCACTGGTCGACCTTGTCGACAGGTGGTGGACGGATGAGGAAGCTGACTTTCCCAGTCGAATGCCACTTGAGCCTCGGGCAGAGTCTCTCCTTCGGTGGGTGGCTAGGGGCTCCGAAGAAGGGTTCATCCGGCCCTACAAAGGAAATCAAGGCAGCCTGAGACCAGATGTGTTGATCCCGGTTAGCAACACTTCCTCCGCCTTTCAGTTCCGAGTTTGTGAGTTCAATGGCAGGTTCCCCATCAACTTTCTTCACTACGCAGCTAGCGCCTACGAAGCGCTTGCCGACACCAAATGGGAAAATCCGGCCCTAAGATCAGCGTCCGACTACGCAAGTCTCTTCGACAGTCTGTTCCAGCTGTTTGATCCCTCGGCCCCAATTCACTTTCTCAGCGAGTCCTCAGACTTTCCACCCGACAGCGCCCTCTTCGGCTTGGTGGAACACCGCACCGGAATGAGACCAAGATCGGTCAAGCCTTCATCCCTTCGTCTCATAGCCAATGAGACCGCCCCGACAGGATTCGATTTGTACTGCGAGACTGATGTCCACGAAAGCAGAGACAGGCCGCCTCGGGATCTGATCACCGTGGACGGTCACGTTTTGGAAAAGGTCCATCAAGTGGGATTCCAGCTCTACGATGTCGAGCTCTTCGCCCTGGAGCTAGAAATGATTCGGCAGATCGCCATGCGCAGCGTCAACGACATGCGGACTGTCTTCATCGCACATGACAAGAGAATGCTCGGCATCATACGTCAAGAGCTCGATGCTCTCGTGCATAAGCACAAGGTCATCACCCCAGACCAGGCCAAAATCCTGCGCGACGGCATCATCCCCACCATCATTCCTGGCTCTCCAGAGCTGCGCCAGCTTGCCGAGATTAATCTGAGCACAAACCACCTCCACAAAGACGACTTCATCTTGAAACCGTTCCGACTGGCGCGAGGGGCAGGAATCGTGCTCGGCAAACACCTCTCTACCTCTCAGTGGTCCTCGATCCTCGAGTCCATGCAAAAAGTAGATTTTGACTCCTCGGCAACACAGTATCTGCTGCAGCCTTTGCTTCCGCTGCAATGTGTCGACTGGTTCTGGGATGAGAAACGAGGAGTGAGAAAGAGTCGGATGGTGGGCACTTATTTTTCCGTCAACGGGCAATTCATTGGGTTCGGGCCATGGAGGACAGCGGCTGCGTCTGAGAATGTTATTTCTGCTTCGACCAAGGATGTCACAGTGGTTATGTCGGTAGTACGCCTAGAGCGAGATGAGTAGGTCATTATATAGTACTGCACTGGAGACTGTTGTTCACCAAATTATCAGCCCGAGTTCTGCCACAAGCATTCATTGTCTGAGGCAAGTGTCCACATCCAGGTATTGCCAGTTGACAAACTCTGAGGACCGGGTTAGGGTTAGGGTTAGGGTTAGGGTTAGGGTTAGGGTTAGGGTTAGGGTTAGGGTTAGGGTTAGGGTTAGGGTTAGGGTTAGGGTTAGGGTTAGGGTT